TTCATTGGCCCATGCACATTTTATCTTTAAAAGCACTTAAGCTGATTGTTTACGTTATATTTCACTCGAGCAGCAGCGTGATTCGACCATGAAAGCGCAAATACGTCGACTTATTCGATCGAGGCTCTTTGCATATAAATATTGTGGTTAGGTTATTTCGCCCATTTTATCTTAAATTGATTGAACCTCTTAAATTGATTGTTTACATTATATTTCACTCGAGCAGCAGCGTGATTCGACCATGAAAGCGCAAATACGTCGACTTGTTCGATCGAGGCTTGCTGAAGTCTGATGTAGGTTAATAGATCAAAGTGAAGACGCTTAATGTCCATGTTCTCTACGTTTTGATTGACAAGTCAACATGTTAGGTTGATAGGTTGTCAATGGACGACAAGAAAAAAGGAAGCGCCAGACCGGGTTCGAACCAGTGACCCTCAGAGCTGCAATCTGACGCTCTACCACTGAGCTACTCGCGCTTCATATGACTTGGGAGATTATTTAACCTGAATAAGAATTAGCGGAATACTGTAAATAAGACCATCACTCCACGTACCAACTGGTATCACAACGCTGCATGAAGGAGGTTGGAGTGGCATACGTCGGCGACAGTTTCTTCGGCTCGGAAGGCCTGCACATCATATTGTGGCGATATGAAGATGGCGCATTGTATGAAGTCATTCGAAGGGAAAGCGACAAGCCGCGATCCCTCACATGTTCTGGAGAAGAGTACCTTCGGTCGCTACACTCGACATTCCATCACGCTTGTAGTACCGCATCACCTACGACCGACCTCTCCGTGTCCGTTCAAGAGGACGAGAATGAGATAGTCGTGTCTATTCGTGAAGATCGAGATGGGATGAACCTTCGCTTCGATTCGTGGTCCATGCCACGATGTACCAACAGCACTTCCACGGAAGCTGCAATGCGGCGGAGATGGTGTGCCGAATTTGCCGTCAAGGTGCGCTTCTCTCAAAAACGAACAAGTGCTCATTCTGTGCTACTACGTATAGGAAGACAAGGCACTGGCGTTGCGTCGTCGTGTGGAGGAGTTGGAGGAACTGGTGCGTTCATCCGATGCGTTGGTGACCAAAGCGATTGCTGCCAAGAACGATGTCGAGTCCACATTAATCCACAAGTGCGTGGCGCTGCTCAACGAAAAGAAGGCCAAGATCAAATCGCTTCAAAGCTCTTCCAAAGCCCCCAGCCGCCGCGATCATGCTGACTCAGCACCCGACGACTCCGACGATGACAAGCATGCGTCGACTGATGAGGACGACGAGGCGGAGGAGGCGAGCCAGGCGTACAGCCACCTGCCAGTGTCGCAGACCCACGTCACAGCCAAGCAAGTGCTGGACGGCGCCGACGACGACTTCTTGGACATGCTCTAACGCGGCAACACTATATTATTATAGGAAGCACGTGTACATAACAAATATCCTGCAATACTAGTACTAATGTATTGTTGTTCGCTGAAACATATTTCATTGTTCACGTAGTGTATGGATTGTTCTGTCATTATATTTAGCCATATATGGCATAAAATAATATTTAATAATCCTGATTCACTACCGAGTGGTACTATTAATAGTATTGTTGTTCTTGAGCTCCAAGAAAGTTCCAAGGCAATGTATTGGAGATTCGGTATGAATTTCCGGACCCCGTTCAATTGAATCTCGCCGAGCGAATCGAGCACTAATCTCTCCCATTGGTCAATCTGAAATTACTTGTCGCTGATTGGCTACAATCCATTTTCGAGTTTCTACTGGAAAGGGCGAAGTGGATAATGGCCAATCAGATGTCTCGGCTCTATTTGTGGTCGATTGAACGAACCATGCAAAATTGGGAAATTTCAAGAAAATCGGAATATGTATATTGTGCTTTCGAGTGAATTTTCGTGTTGTGGCGTGGTTTCTCGTTGGAATTCAAATCGATTTGATTGGCTACTTCAGATGAGCTCAAAATTATTAGCCAATCAAAACCTTCTCAATGAAATTCAACCAATCAGATCGATTGTGGATCGGTTTGGTTGGCGCGATTCGATTGCACCCCTCCCCAAATTTGTATCAAATCGACAATATATACAATTCTTCAACTTTGAATATAGCCAAATATACAAATGTCATTGATAATTGAGGGCAGATCGAGGGGTTCTATGCAGTTTCGTCTGCGGTGGTGGTGGCTTGCAACAACTTGACGCTGAACTGCGCGAGCATCTCTTCTTCGAGGAAATGGACGTCGCCGGCAATCACGAGCGAGTGCAGCGGCGCGCCAAAGTCGACGCTCAGTAGCTCCGCGAGGGTGCCGGCCACGATCCTATAACGTGTGACGCCATATGAATTAACAAAACGTGACCTACTTTTGGTCGCGTTGGCCCAACCGCGCCATACCCACACACAGCGTGTCCCGCGAGTACACGCCCTCCTGGCGCTTGTCTTCCACCTCGAGCAGCTGCTCCACCGCCTGGTTCACACTCATGAAGCGGGGCGGCAGGAACACGGTGCGGCCGCGCGCCATGGCTTCAAAGTCCGGCTCCTTCACCTTGATGTCTAGTTTGTGGTCGCTATTTGTTACAAGTGTTTACAAGAAGATTGAGTACCTAGAAGGCACAGCGTGTGCAGGCCGCCCTTGCGGTTGAACGCGATCTTGTCGTAAAAGCTGTCGGGGCGCCACTTGTCGTTGAAAAATGGAATCGACACCGTTTGCCCGTAGCTATACAGCTATACAAAGGTCACAAAAGGTGACTGTATGAGATAAGCATACCTGGAGTCCGCACGCTCCCGCAGCGCCCATCACGGACGCATTGTGAATCACTTCCACCTGCGTCATCTTGTGAGATAGGATGTCGAGATGCGGATAGACTGACCTTGGCGCCGATCTCTTGAGCGCGCAAGATCAAGTCGGAATGGGTCGTGGCGCTAGTGGAGCCGGTTCAGATCGAGAGGTGAGATGGGAGGGGTTGGATGTACCAGAAAGGATCGCCGACGACGAGGAACGCGATGTTTTGCTCCTTGGCGTTGGCGTAGATCACTTCGGCGCCGGTTTCCACGCAGTCACGGTCAGCGAGGATCACTTCACGGCCGTAGAACTCGCTCTGGTCACATGGGAATTAGACGGGCACCGTGATGGCAGAGGACGTGTACCAAGGTTTTGTGGTCGATGCCAAGGATGCTCGTGTAGTTCTCCAAGTACACCTTGTCGCAGGACTGCACAGCACGCAGACCACGGACCGTGATGTCGGTCTCATCGCCCAAACCCAGCCCAATCACGTACAGCACCATCGTCGGACAAGTTCAAAATGACTCGTTCAAGGCACCCTCTCGCCCTTATTCGTAACCCCCCACTTCCAATTATTTATTTGTCTTCCTACTATTTGTAGCAGCCTTTCCAAAACGGATACTGTATGCCCAGCCAATCACATGCCTTGAATTAATTATTTCGTAAATGGCCAATTTACCGGTATGAAAGAGATTTCGTCATAAAATGCAGCTTATTCGACTCTCAGGACCGGGATTTCAATTAACGTTATGCAAAGTGCTGCATGAAGCCAAAAGGTTGGGCATTCTTCTGATTATTTACACTTTTAATTGGCTTGACTGTGAATAGACTTCAGCGTATCGTTCATTGGCTTCAGTTTAAGCTTAAAATATGTATGCTGTTGCTGATTTTTGGTGATTTCATATTTCTACTGATTCGATTGGCTATTCAAAAATTAAAGCAATTCCATTGGTTGAGTGCACCTTAGGCAATCTACGTTATTTATAACCTCGAACTTATTCGTCGACCCGACTACAAATACTATCACTGTTTACAATTGAAAACGACGTGGTCATTTGAATTACTTCTTGTGCACAAATTCGACGCCCTTGGCGATTTGCTTTTCCAAGTCTATAAACAATACGATCAGCAATTCGACACTCAATTGAAGGATGTTCCACCTACCTGGCAACATGGCGTCGAAGTTGGCTTGCTCGACGGCGTTCAACTTGCCGAATGAGTGGACTTCTTCGACACCGTTGGGGCCAAGGGTCACGGGGGTCGAGAAAAAGTCGAGGCTCGTCACGTTGTTCTGCGTGTACGAGCATTCAACCACGTTCTTTTCACCGGCCAAAGCATCCAACAGCCGCCTACACGCACAATTAGGAATGCTGTAGAATGTGGGAGATAGATGATGAATCGTACGAGGTGAAGCGAGCACCGGCATACGCCATGGAGAGAGTGGCAGACCCGGCGCCGTCCTTGGCCTTGACCACTTCGTCACCGCCGAATTGGATGCGCTTGATCAACGCATGGAGTTCGTCGTCGGACCACTTCTTGTCCAACTTGAGGTGGGACAACAAAGGCAAGATGGTGGTACCGGCATGACCGCCGATGACCGTCACGTTGGTCGTGCGAGGGTTCCAGCCTTGGGATTCAGCGACAAACGTGTTGGCGCGCACCACGTCCAACGTGGTCACCCCGAAGAGACGCTTGGGGTCATACACGCCAAACTTCTTGAAGGTTTCCGCGACGATGGGCACGGTCGAGTTGACGGGGTTGGCAATGATCAAGAGCATGGCGTTGGGGCAGTACTTGGCGGCGGCCGTGGCGAGCGATTGCACAATCGACGCGTTCGTGTTGAACAAGTCGTCACGGGTCATGCCAGGCTTGCGGGGCACGCCGGCGGGGATCACGACGACATCCATGCCAGTCAAAGCAGCTTCGATGTTGTCCATGCCGGCGTGACCGGTGACCTTGGCGCGGGTGTTGCAGTGGCTCAAGTCCGCAGCCACACCCGGGGTGTTGACCACGTCGAAGAGGGACAAGTGCGAGATCTTGTCGTTGTCCTTGAGGAGGAGCGACATGGGTTGACCGATACCACCGGCAGCGCCGAGGACGGCCACCTTCTTGCCGGCGGCGGCGGCGCTGAAGAAGCGGAGGGTCATGGAACGAGCCAACATCTTTAGTTCAAGCAAGCAAATGTGCAAATGAGAGCCACACATGAAGGAAGTGGCGGGGGATCGTCCGGATAATACCGCCTGGATGATGTGGCCGGCGACGAAAACACGAAAAATACGTGAAAATATCACCCAATATTTGCATAAGTTTATCAATATGCATCGACGTTGGCGTGTCATGTCGACTCGGCCTGAGATAGCCAATCACCGTTGCGATTCCAAGTAACCATAAAACGTTAAAGGCATCGCACGACGTTTTTTAAATCGAAGTACCGATTGCGTAGTCATGAAAGACATTTAACCTATTTTTGTGTCCAAGTGACATGCGTTAAACCATCGACGAATTTGCTTGAATACTGGAGTATCGTCATGACGACGATCGAAGGATAGCAGGTAGATGGGAGGGAGGCAGAGCTCCATAGAGGTTCGTCTGCCGCGCCAAATCACTGTGGCCAAGATAGTAAGTCTAAGGGTCCAAAGACACATCGACATACTACCACCGGCTGACGCTTCAGTCGAACATCATTGCCGATCAGGCTCCAGGGCATTGGAGCCTTCGTGGATTGTTATTCGTTGGAGGACTGCGAGACACTCGAAGTATTATATGCATATTCATGTTGGTTTGAGGTCATATATCTACATGACGGTCATATATCTACATGACGGTGGACGCGCACGAGTAGTGGCGAGCATACACTTGTTCCCAGCCAGGGACGTTGATGCTGAGGGTTCTGTTGGCCAGTTGCGAGATCGTGACGTAGCAGTAGGGGGACCCGTGGACGTCGAACGACGTTCGGAACGCGTCGGAGTAATCGAACACGCCTTGCTTGCACTCGTTGTGGAAGACGCACTGCATCCAGTTGATGCGCTCCATGATTTGGTCTTGCGGCACGTTCTGGGCCTGGCAGTACAGGTACATTTCACGCATGAACTGATCTTCCTTGGACACGACCTCATCTAGTCACATGTTAGTCATTCCAACTAAGCAAGTCATCCCGACGTACCAGTCGTGGCCTCTTCTAAACCCACGCGAACCGTGGTGGGGCTACCGTACTTGTCGCATTGCTGGGCCAACCCTCCCAGACTGCTCAGTCCGAAGTCGTACGAGTACGACATCTCGCCCAACGCCCGGATATCGTACAAGTCGGCGAATGTTTGCAGCCCCACGGCGTCGAAGAACGGCTTGAGCACACTCGACGGGTCCTGGACGTCCACGTACTTGCCATTTGCCCCAATCAAGTTCATCGTCAAATGGTCCGTCGGCTCGTACGCGCCTGTGACACCGTTGCGGACCTTGCTGCACGACGCACCCCAGTCCGCCCGATTCGGCCACACGGTCGAGTGCTTTAGGTCAACATTCAAAGGGGGAACGACGCATTGGTAGTATATCGCATACAGCGCATCCACCGTCGCCTACAGTATACACTGAGCATCGATATATCGATATATGTACCACTTGAGTGGATATATGTACGAACGTGGTGGACGTAAAAGATGGGGTCCCCTGGCGATGCAAACGTCCCCATGGTAGACGCCAGCGCCCCGTGGATCCCATTGTGGTATCGGTACTGGACGCCTTTCGTCACTTTGGTAAAGTCGTACGGCTTGGAGCTGAACAACTGGTTGTACACGTTGGAAATGTACGTGTCCGACGGTGGCGCGGTGAGGGACCACTTGTTGCGAGGGATGCATCTGATTGGGGAGAATCAGAATCAGACTAGATACTTATATCAGAACGCAGCTACGTACTGATAACATCGCTTGGTGGAGAAAGCGTCCTGGGACTGGCAAAAGTTGCGCGTGACGGGGTGCGCCGACTTGACGCACGTGTCGGCTTGACAACCCGCTCCGGAGACTGTATACGTTCCGGCCCCCAAGTCGTAACCAACGGTTTCCAACGCGCCCATGTCTGACAAAAGCGGATTACACTCGGGGAAGGTGGAACAGGATCCGGTGGCGTATTTGGCACTGAGGGTGCTGAAGTCCCAGAACGGCAGCGTGATGCACCGATACTGATCCCCCAACGACCGCAACATGGTCTCGTACGCCAGCAAGTACCGCCGATGCCAGAGGAAGAAGAGGCAGTCGTGGGCTTCATGTTCCGACTTCGATTCCAAGTGGACTTCAATGAATTTGTGATGGAATCCACGCACCATGGCTAGACAGTCATTAACAAAACGGTCCTGTACAAACCACACAGAGCGTACCTTGTTCGAGTGCGTTTTGAAACAAAGCCTTCTCGGCGTCGGTGTGCGCCGTCCATGCTTTCCGGACTCGAGCAGGACAAGGCTTTGGCACTGGGGTGGGTGCAGGGGTGGTCGTAGTCGGCGCAGCAGTTACGGGGGCAGTAGTGGTGGGCTTTGGGGTTGTAGTGGTGGGCTTTGGGGTCGTAGTGGTGGGTGTAGGGGTGGTCGTAGTCGGCGCAGCAGTTACGGGGGCAGTAGTGGTGGGCTTTGGGGTCGTAGTGGTGGGCTTTGGGGTTGTAGTGATGGGTGCAGTGGGCGCAGGGGTAGTTGTGACTGGCGGTGCGGTCGTAGGGGGGGCTGTTGTCACGGGTTTAGTTGTAGGGGCCGTAGTGATGGGGGCAGGGGCTGATGTTGGAATGCAAGTGGTGGTAGGAGGGGGAGTGATTGCGTTAGGGGCACACAGCCCGACAGATGGATTTTTGGACACGACTGTCCATTGGGCATACGCCTCCGAGACGGAAGTGGCGTGCACAAACGCGGCGTTTGGGTAAGCTCCAGGAAGGCAGCTGTTGCACCTGGCCAAGTAGCGTCCGCTGTCGGCTTGCAGTGCAATTTTGCCGTTACCAGCATCCACACACACCCACTGGGCCCACGGCGACGTGTGCCAGTCTTCCACATGAACGAAGGCTTCGTCAGGGTATGCTGCACCGGGTGCACAGTTGTTGCACCTGCCCAAGAACTTGCCAGTGTCCGCCTGGAGCACGAGCTTTCCGTCCAACGTATTGAAAACCTTCCATTGGGCCCACGGAGCGTCCTTCGGATCGGACACGTGCACGAAAGCCGAGTCCTGGTACGCCCCTCCCGGCACGCACCCGTCGCAGCGCCCCATGAACAAGTCGGTGTCGGCACGGAGACTGATGAGGTCACCGTCGTTGAAGCAGCAGCGAGACGGGGGAGAGTCGGCTTCGGCTGAAGCGTCGGAGGATTCAATCAATTCCAACATGGACCACCACGGCTGGGCTGCGTCAGCGACCACCGATAGCAGCACGAACCATCCCAGACTTGGCATTTTCAACAATGTCACAAATTGAACAATGCCAAGCCAAGCTAACTGCAATAATTCGTTGGAAGTTGGCAATGACAACCAGGATATACGAAGTATTTGCTGAGGTCATTCCAAATTCGAAGAAAACATCGCCATCCGCAGGGTTGCTTTTCGGTGGTTGGCCAAGCATTAATGCTCCAAAATGTCGTTGACGCTCATCAATCTCAAGCCATCGTTTCAATTCGATACTGTATATTAGCGACGCACTAGCCAAACAACCTTACGTCAACGTTACATTTCGATTATTCTCCGAATCTCCCAAATTGTTCTAATGTTATCCTTAGACAACTTTTAAATATTAGAGGTGTTTACAGTTACTGGTAGCAAGTAATGTCAGTTAGTTTCACTTCATTAGCATGAGCTATAAACTACTAGAAAAAGTGATTTGATCAAAAAATCATATGACAGCTTGGCCGAGCGGTTAAGGCGATAGACTCGAAATCTATTGGGGAAACCCTCGTGAGTTCAAATCTCACAGCTGTCGAATTTTTTTCCATCAACCATCATTATTTTAACCTAATAGTGACATTATTTATACTACATTTGTTATGGTTTGTCGGATTTATTTAATATCAAGGATTTTGTAAGCATTCGTCATAGTTAAAGCGAACGTATTGTATTTCGCTCCACCAATCCAGTCCATTCCCTGCCACCATTCCCTTTTGACCAAACATGGCCGCCTCCACCGCCGCGTCCAAGCTGAACCTGTTCAAAGCTATCTGTGGGAAGCGAAACTTTGGCGTCGGCCAGAAGGTCACCCGCGCCATCTGGGACCGCTTTGAGGTAGGCTTCCCATGCTCTAATCTTTGGTGAACTCACTCGGACGACAGGAATCTCCTTTGTCCACCACGTCCTTCATCGAAATCACACGCGTCGAGCCATCTGCGGACCTTAGCCACGGCAAAGCTTATGGCATCAAGACCTTCCGTGGAGTTTCGGAAGGGTATGCTCGATGCAACATGGCAGGGGATTTGATATCGCTGTACCTTGTAGGAAGGCCCGCCGCGTGGACGGACCTCTCAAGAAGGACTGGCGTATTGTTGTATAATGCAATGATATAAACGTAGATCCATCACATGGTGTACTTCTGACTTATGTCGTCACGTGTAGAACATATTAGCAGCGGTTCGTAGGACGTAGTAGCAGAGATGATCATCTGAACATGCTTGCATGGTGGTGGATAAGCAAAATGACGGATAACTAGAACCTGTTTTCCGGATATTTACTCACATTGGAAATTGACCGATGTCGAACAGTCCGAGTTCTCCGAGCAGTTCCGTGGGTATCAACTGGAGCGCCGCCATGCGATGGATGGGGTAACCTTCTTCTATATCAATAGGAATCACGGATGCTTCGTCCTCCATGAGTGTGCCCTTGCCTTCACCTTCGATGGAAGCCGCGGTATACCCGACTATTTCTGGATGGGTAGCGTGAAAGTGGAGGTTTGTAGGGCTCCATGGTGTTGTCACCGTATCAAGGAATGCAAGGATATACATCCGCGACACCAGCCTTCACTCCCCTCGCGAGTCCCTTGACTCATCCATCTCCTGGCCCGTCGTCGTCACAGGTGTATTCCGCGTCAGGGGCAGGTTCGACACTGTCGGTACACTCTCTCACATTGTGATCTCACTGTCCCTCGTCAGGCTCGAAGCATACAAGTAGCGCTGAAGACGACCTTAGCCTCAAGTTGAGCTCCATCATGAAGGCCCTGGATGCTTGCGTATACCTCGTTCGCAACTTCAACGGCGATCAACAAGTTCAAATGCAGAAAGGTACTGTTTGCCTTCGTTTCCATGACTCATGCCGACGCAGCGGTGCACACGTATGTCCAACGTCTTGCCGAGCTCAACCTGCATCTTCAACACATGCCCCTGAACCACGTACGTCCTTTCATGATGTTCGAACCGACTGGACGTGTCCCCTCAGGCCATTCCGCGGGCCCTGATGGCCTTTCTGGACAAAGTACCCATGGAGAACCCAGAGATATGGACGTTAAAGCAACTGGAACAGTGTGCAGCGGACGCAGCGGCCTTGCGGGGAAAGCTACAGGCGCTGCAGTTGTTGCGCCAGGAGCTCCGCACAGGCCTCGGCCTCGATCCTTGAGAGGCGACAAAAGTCATACAGTATTGTCAAGTCAATTCAAAATTCAGAACACTAACCAAGTGGCCAATCAAATTCACTCTTCAACCATTTCAACATAGAATTAGTGTGTGAATTAAATTAGTGTGATACTGACAAAGAATCGATCGATAGATTTGGCGAATCAACCCAAAAGTTCACGTTTTGGGTAAACCGACAATATATATATTCAGCTATTTCGACATATCGAATAATGTCCAAGGTGTTGGGTGGGCTAACTGTAAATAATAGCTTGGCAAATGATGTTGAATTGCGAAACTATTAATAGTAGGACCCCCCACGTATTTTGGGAGACGTTTTGTCCAACTGTACGGTATAACATGATATTAATGGTTGACAGATATAACTAATACTATTAATAGTATTCTGTAACCTCGTCACTACAACCTAGACCATTTCAACACCGCGCGAACCCTCGACTGGCAACGCAGTCGGAGCGAGGCTCTATATAAAAATTAGGATGTTCTTAGGCGTCCGTGGTCGCGGGGGGTTCCGTGGTCGCGGGGGGTTCCGTCGTCGGCTCCAGCAGCCACGCGTCATGCGCGTAGCGGAGGATGGACTCCTCCATGTTGCCAAAGGGGAAGTCCACCAGCGGAGTCAGGTCGAACAGCTCCTCGTACGCCGTGTCCCGCCCGAAGCACCGCTTAAACGTGGGAAATACTTCGCCGCCGTTGGCCCCGCGGACGTCGTAGTTGTCGTCCACGGTGGGCTTCTTGTACTGTTGCACGTGGTCCCCTGCCCATAGATGGTGAGGAATAGTACTACTAGTAGTAGGCACTATACTACAAAACGTACAAATGCGCGGGGCGTCGGCATACCCCGTCAGCTTGTACGTGTTGCGGTGGAAAAACACAATTTTGCCATGGGGGTCGTGCTGCACCATCGTGTGTCCGCAAAACAAATTGTACCTAAACGGATCGTCCATCATAGTGGAAACGGTTCGATTGAATCATCCACAGGGGTATGTATATAAAAGATATAAAGATTGTCAAGTCGATTCGAAATTGGTGTGCTGTGCTCAATCGAATACAATATCGATCGACCAATCCAAACCCACAACACTATTCAAGTGGCCAATCAAAGAATTCGTTTCGACCATTCAACATCGAATTAGTGTATGCCTGATAATAGTATGAAACAGGTCAATTTATATAAAACATATACACTCGTTCTCGATTATGGATTTGGCAATATACAAATATCCAAATATATTTTGGCCGAGAAAGGATCGTACGTGTGATGCTTGACGCCGGCGCTGCCAGGGGGTTTCTGGATCATATGGAACGGCGTCTGAGACTTCATCCAAGCGAACCGGAATAGGTCCTTATCGCCCCACGCCATGTCGAGGGTCTCGATGAGGCGGGGGTGGTGGAACGCGTAAAACATGAGCGTGCGCAGCGCATCCTTGGATTTCTATCAAAAAATATGTTAAAATATTTCTACAAGTCGATATATATATACTATTACCGATTTGTCCACGAGCACCTGACCAGACTCTTGCTCCATCATGTCGACGAAGGAGACGCCGAGCATGTCCCACAGCACGCTAGTGTTGTGGATGTTGAAGATGGTCTTCTTCATGCGCCAAAAGTCTGGCCAGAACATTGCCCCTATAGAGATCAAGATATATGATACAACCACGATCGCTCGGTTCATATTGTTAATATTGTCGATTTGATACAAATATTTGGGGAGGGGGTGCAATCGAATCGCGCCGACCAAATCGATCCACAATCGATCTGATTGGTTGAATTTCACTGAGAAGATTTTGATTAGCTACTAATTTTGAGCTCATCTGAGGTAGCCAATCAAATCGATTTAAATTCCAACGAGAAACCACTCGAAAGCACAATAACAACTTACCCACTTCGGTGAACTCTGGCATCCCAAACAAGTACGTTGGGTCCACAGTCACAAAGTTATCGCAGTCCAGCAATAGCACTTGGGTGAACGCACTACATACATCATATAGTGTCACACACACTATTTGAGTGGCGTTTCGTTATATAGTGTGTATACCTATGGTACAGCGCGTATGGCTTGACGTAGAAATGCGTGGCATCTGGCTGGACGATCTCCCGCGCATAGATGCCGCCCTAGGAACATAGTCGAGGAATCGAGCGGCGCAGTGGGATGAACCTACCTCGGCGAGAAGAGTCGAGATGATGGGATGCGACGTGTTCATTTCGTCGCGGCGGTACCAGAGTTCCACGGGAAGCTTGCATCCGGTGTCGCGAAGCTACGATAATGAATGTATCAGTGGATAGATGCCATGAAGTGGAAAGGCATACTCGATGGATCGCTGCGTAGACACCCTTCATGACCTTGGGGTAGACAGCCATGACAATGCCTCGAGTCAGGTCCGCCCCTTGCTCGGCCTTGGAAATCGGCGGCGTGCGCTGTCGGACGCGGTATCTTGACGGGAGGTCCGCATAGGCAAAAAAGTCGCTAGGATGAACGTTGTATGTAAGCAACATGTAGCTACGTGGACAAGGAGGTACCCCGTCTGGTTGCACGCGAACTGGGACCCGCCCTTCATGCCAATGCAGGAACTGACAAAGGCGCGGACGACGGTCCCAGTGGCCTTGTGTCGCGCCTCACAGTAGCCAGAGTTGCCTGCCGTGATGACTTTGTCGCATCCTTTGTCCTCGTTCGGCTCCCGCGGACCGTCGGGGTCGCACTCGCCCGTTTGGCGCCATCCGAGGCACTCAAAGTCGTCTGCGGGGTTGGTCATCGACAAATTTTGCCGCCACGGCGGGAGTTTCACGGGAAGGAGCTGATTGTTTGGTTGTCGCATGGTGGGGGTAAGTTCGAGGGGCTGCCGATTGAGAATGCCATCGAGGTATTTGTTCGCAGACGCTCGAAGTCCTCCGCCGGTGGGTGTTGTGGACGACGTCGACGTGAAGGAGAAGACGAGGGCGGCCCAGCAGCACAAACTAACGACTACAGCGAGAAAGAACGGGATCTTGAGATGCCGCAGCTTCATGTGGGATGAGGTAGTGGCGGCGGTGATGGTGGCGAGGGAAGGGAGGTCGCTATGGGTCACCACCACGGGAGGGGAACTGAACGTGTTATCCAACGCAGTCTTGTTAAAGGTATTTAACGCACGTTTAAACATGATGCGATGGGTGATTGTAACAAAAGGTGTGGCTTGGATTCACAAAACGTGGCGCACATTCGTGTCGACCGAGTCACCTCCTTTTGTTATAGAGTCACAAATGGAGTCAAATCAGCAATGGTCATCATCAGAACCGGATGTTGCTGGAACACTTGGTCGTTCCAGCGAGATTGTTCAGATCCTATACATACTCAAGCTGAGCCAGCCACGTCGGAGCATATTCGTCGAGCATTTTGGCTATAACACGTCCGAAGGAAAGAGTTGTGCCGTAGGACAAGAAGTCCACCCATGATCTCTTTCATTAATGTATGACAGTCGACGCATCTGTGGCCTAGTCCTGTTAACACTTCATCGCGGTCTTCCCCACTACTACGTTCCTCAGAGGCAGCATCAAGTCGTCGCTTATTCGGCTTCTTCAGCGCGGACACGGGCGTTGGGGTTGGTCACGCGGATGTTGAGTTGCTCGGCGCGGGTCAAGATCTCCTTGCGCTTGCGGCCAGACACGTTGTGCGCGACTTCGGCGCAGTACTTGCGGTTGTGCATGAGCAACTATCCACATACATCGTAAGCGCTCGTTCCTGTGTGCTTCGGGTCTCAAGAAGTACCATGTCAAGTTCGGCGACGTTGCGGACCGTGAACTTGTAGAAGCCGTTGGGCAACAAGTGCTTGGTCTTGGTGTTGGAGCCGTACCCGACGTTGGGCATGCGGATGGCACCCTTGAAGCGGCGACGGACGCGACCATCGATACCCTTGGGCTTGCGCCACGATTCAGACACGCGCTTGAAGCGGTTGCTCTGGTGGCGCTTGAACTTGGTCACCTTCTTCTTGATGATCGGGCGACGCGCGACAGGGGTGACTTGGACCATGATGATGTCTTCTACACCAGTGTTGTTCCATCAGTCGTCATACTCCTACATTTGCAGCCCTTCGGTCATGCTTCCTTACCTTGCGAATGGGGAAGATGCAAAATACGAGACTTCCGCCCCACCACCAACGGCCGCCCACCAGTGATTGGCCATCAGCCAATCACAGAGCAGAATTTCTTTTAACCAATCCACGCGGTGAATTTTTATCACCAATCAGATCCCTTGCTTGGCGATCCATTAACCAATCAATGGTGAGTATTGACTCCACCAATCCACAACAAGCACTGCGTTATCTGTCCAATCACAGATATCCTTGTTTTAGCCAATCAAATTGGAGTAATTGCAATTCGTCGATATTGCTGCGTTTCGCAACATGGAACTTGGTTGTTCATTTGAAAGCAAGATCATGGGTCGCAGGATATTGATTTAGATTACTTTTTCCGACGGCGAGAAGACGACCTTGTGGGCTCGACTACCTTGGAACGGGGCCGCCCAGGGGCAGTGCGTTGGACCAAGAACGCCTTGGCGGAGTCCGTGAGTACATCTGCCGCCTACGCAACGTCGTCGTGAGATAATTGCTCCGAGTATAGGCAATAGGTTCGTACCGGAGTGGGAGCATTCAACGTCGTGACCTGAATGGTTCCAAATCGACGGACGTGGGTCGCGGGTTTGTGCGCTTTTTTCGGTTTAGCTTCGATCGCCTCCGCATCTGCTTTGTCTTGGGCGAGTTGCTGTTCGACGACTTCTTTCTCCTTACGGGCAGCGGACACAGCGTCCAAGACATCGGCGGGCAACGCAGCGATGGGCTCAACGTGTCGCTTCCGCTTCAACACTGCGGCTGCTTTGGCGGATTGGTGCGCATGCTTCTCCAATTCGCGGGAAGCCAACGCCTGAGCATGCGTCAGATCCTGTGTATAAGCGGTGGAGATGCAAGCTTACCTTGGACTTGGCCACTGCCATCGGCACGGCTTCCGGGGCGTCATCATCGTCGGACTCAGGACTTCGAGGCATCCTTGCTTTGGCTTGGCTAATCGAGTGCGAGTAAATCAAGAATCACTGGCAGCGAGGTATCCGGCAATATCCGGATACGCTCGTTTTGTACCACATCTTTCAAATGCCTCGGATACCAAACAGTCACTTGGAAGCAGGCTACCAATATGGTACCGATTGTTAACTTTGAGGAGCTTTGTCGTGATGAGTATGTTTCACGTAGACTCGCAATACGACACAACGTGGTGTTGTCAATGTTCACATGCACGATACTAGTAGTATATTTCAAGTTAACATGCAACAGCCTCAAAGACTGGCCGAGATAATGGCCAGCACAGTCGCGGGCTCGCATGTCGCCTTGTCGCCAACGTCTCGGTGGTGGCGTCGCCGCACGAGAACGAGCACGACCAGCACCACTACCCCAATACAAACATGTCAATAAGCCATCACTTTGAACAGTGGCGAACGTACGCGCTACACCACCCACAGAGGCTATCGCGGCCATCGCCACGTTGCGCAATCCAGTGCTCACACTCGAATCCGTTTGAGCCAACGACACAACAACGCTAGGACTTACGTCTTCAGCCACGACCGCCCTATGGCAAAATACATCTTGTATAGAACCAACACTATATGGAGACCATCGTACGAGAGTCGGCTGCGGAATGGAGCGGCTGCTTGCAGCGACGCCAGCCACGCTTTGGATGCGTACAGACCCCGAAGCGTCGACGCGTCGTCGGCAGTGGCGACTGTCGTGACCAACACCAGCGTCGTCGCTCCAACTGCATATTTATGGTTAGTAGTTCATGGTTTGGAAAGGCGTACGGGGGTCGGTGATTGACGTGGCAGCATCGACGGACGCGAGGGTCGTTTTCGCGGACGGAATCACATCCGCCACGACTTTGGCCCATGCTTGGGTCAGCGACGGACTCCACAAAGATGGAGGCAGCCCAACGATGGTCGCCTTGGTGTGCACAACGTGCTCTTGGGAGGTCTAGATTGGTTTTGGTGTTAAATCTTGTATGCAAAAGGTGTGTCGAACCGCTTCGGGACCAACGCAGGTCTTGGTGTCCGAGTGCCACGCCGCCGACGGGTCCAAGCAAGCGCGACATTCGTTCGCACCTGTACAAGACATAAGACACTTTTACATTAACATAATGACTGTACCGTGAAAACAACTTTGAGTGGGCTCGTCGCACGCACATGCGATGCACGATGTCGAGTGGCCGGCAGAGTAGTACCCGTCCGCACACGGAAAGCAGTCGCTGGCAGACGCGGCGCCGGCGGGCATGGCCGAGCCTGGTGGACACGTGGCAGCCCCACAGGCATCGGATCCACCGGCGGAAAAGTGGCCGCTGGGGCACCACGCACATTGGCCCATGGGGACGTCCGCACCCTGCAAACGTCAAGTCAAATGGAACGACGTGGGGATAAGGTACCGCAGGGGAGGCAGTTCCCGCTGGGCAATGCGTAGGTCGGCATCGGTGGACCCCGCCAGCAGAAAACGTCCTAAAAGCCAGGTATTGGCCCTGACTTTAAGGGGAATATGGAGGGAGTACCCTGCTGGGCAGAGCACGCAAGTGTCGGTCGGGGATGTGGCGGCGACGGCGTTGGAGGCGGTGCCCAGTGGACACGCCATCGGTTTGCAGATTGCATCTACAGAAACACAAGATGAATATTTTTTATTAATATAATCATGAATATGCTTGATGGATTAGGATGGTATACCATTGCCATAGTACCCTGGGGGGCAGTCGAGGCATATGTTGGTGCCTTCGGCAGCCCCTTGACCGTCGGGGCATGCCAGTTGGGTGCAGGGTTGGTCTTGGCCTGGGCTAAACCACCTAGTATTTATGTCATTAAAAGACGAGTTAGTCAGACTTACGTACCCAGGTAAACATAGCGCGCATTGGCCTTGCGCGCTCGACGCCCCTGCCGGCGACGAAAAGCCCTGGGGGCAGGACGTCTGGCGGTCGCACGACTCGGTGCCGCCTTCCGAGAACGTTCCGGCAGCACACTGAGAGCAATTGGCAGTGGCACTGATGGCCTGCGCAGGCGCGGCAGATCCTAACGAAACCATGAAATCGATCGTACAGTATTGGGATGTTATAGCGAGATACCAGCGACACATTGGGTGGGCGCACACGGAATGGTGCCGCCTGGGCTGAACGACCCAGCGTCGCAGGTGACACAGTCGGCCAGTGGGTCGGTGCTGCCGATGGGTGCAGCAGAGCCCTACGTTCCCCCCAACTGTAACTGGCGAAATCGATGTGATATTGAGATTGTACTGGTGGACAAGTGGTGGGTGCACACGCAGAGTCAAGTCCGCGGCTGTAGTACCCCGCAGGACACGTTGTACAAGCAGAGTTCGAGTCACTTGCACCTATACAGTAGTAGGCATGTTAAAGTTTTTTGTACTGGATTAAAGTATACCTGCAGTGGGGTGGGTTGCATTGGACGCGCTACCAGGAACGCAGTCCATTGCGGCACACTATCGTAAGCACATGTAAGAGTGATGACTTGAACGTGTGGGTGTACCTGGGCTGCACCCCCTGCACTGAACCAGCCGTAGCTGCACCCGGTGCACGTACGAGTGGCATGCGACGCCTTGGTAGCGTTAGAGGAAGTGCCAGGCGCACACAAGGTGGGTCGGCATACATCCGTCCCGCCTGCCGAGAACGTCCCAGGACCGCACGCTTTGCATTCGTCTGATGCTGACGTCATATTAACCACAGGTTCAAACCCAGGCAGACACTTGGAGTCCACACATGGCACGGTGCCGCCTATGGTAATATTCGATTTAAACATCGCAAAATGACGAAGATACATGGTTTAGACGAACCTGGACTGTACGTTCCCAATGTACACGCTTGGCATTGGGCAATGGGGTCGACGGCCCCCAAGGGTGACGCCGAGCCTAATTGGATCATGCATGCACTTAATATATCTGAATATATGGGATATATATAATTATAGACGTACTTGGGGGGCAAGTGGTATTGGCGCACGGCCCCGCGGTTGTGCCATCACTATAGGTGCCTAAAGATTATACTGGTGAGTATAGCAACAAATCGCAAATTCCGCACCAGCAGGACACACTTGGCAGCTAGTCAACGAATCTTTGGCTCCCAGTGGGAAGAAGGCGCCTACACATTCATATGATGCATAATGTGCCTGTGTGAGTGAACATGTCCACCTGCAGGACATCGCGCCTGCTTGCACTGATCCGCCCCGCCGGCACTGAAGTACCCTTCGGCGCACGGCAAGCAGTTGCCCTTTTCCAAGTCGGACCCTTCGACGCTGGACGCCGTGCTATACAAGTAATCATCGAGTGAGTATTATATCGACCGTAGAAAGGTGCTGTACCCGACAGGACAAGCGGTGGGCGTGCACGGTTGATCGTCGCCCAGGCTAAACTCCCCCCGACCACACACTTGGCAGTTGGACGTGGGGTGGGTAGCTCCCACGGCGGCGCCGGACCCCGGGGCACACGCCGTCGGCTTGCAAATCGAGTCTCCGTCCTGATTGGCGTAGTAGTGAACGATTGGGATTGAAATCGACGTACGTACCGAATACGTGCCAGGAGGACACGTGGAGCATTCCGCGGAGCTTTCCGTGGCGTACTCGCCAGGCGGACACGCGATCTGTATAACGACGTCAGGTGTGGAAAAAAGGAAGACATACGCACCGGAAAGCAAGGCGACGAGCCCCCGTTGGACGAAAATCCGACGTCGCACGGCCCGCAGTCGGTGGCAGACGTCGCGTTCACGTGGTAGCTCCACCCAGGCAAACATTCCTAAACGAATGTAAAAGGACGACTCTTATGCTTTTTTGTTTATTTACCGTCGGATGGCAATCAGGCTGACCTTCGGACGAGTACGTGCCTTCAGGGCACGCTGCGCAACTAGATCCAAGAATATTAATTCACGACGAATCGGATTTTAGTATTACCTCAGTGCATTCTCGCCACCCGTTGAAAACGAACCGGCTTGGCAAGGAGTGCATTCGTCGATGGAAACTGTTGGCCCATCCGAGGCTACGTACCCAATTACACATTAAAACGACGACTAGTTTGGCTTGAAATCGACTGACCTATGCTGCCAGGAGCACAATTCACCAACGCACAGGCCATCCCACTCCCCGTTCCATACCAACCTAGCGCCATAACGTTCAGGTAAAACAAATTGCTAGGGATGGGATAATACATACCTCTTTCACACTGGGTGCACGTGTCTGTTGGATGGGTGGCGCCCACCACCGTGGAGCTAAACCCAGGAGGGCATTCCATGGGCGCACACAGGGTGGCTTCGCCTCGTCCAAACGTGCCTGCACAACAGTCTTCAATAACCGATAAAAACTAACCTACAAACATACCTGCGGGACACAACGCACACCCATCCAAATCACTTTGCCACGCCGATCCACGAGCGCAAGTCGCGGGCTCGCACGGGGCCTGTCCGCCTGCAGACAGGTACCCCGGGGCACACGCGTCGCAGTTGGCAGTGGGGTCCACGGCACCCTACATTGCATGATGGAAACTATCGTGGTTGGTGGAAGGAGGTACCTTTGGACTAGAGGTGTGACGCGCACACGTGGTGGGGCTGCAGCGGTTGTGCTGGCCGTACGTGCCTTGGGGACAGATCGTGCAGTCGCGGCTGTGGGTCGCGCCAGCCTAAAAACACACAACTCAGGTATGATAACGTCATCCGATAACGCCACCGTGGCTTCCCATCCATCGTCGCAGTTGGCCGGGGCACAAATTTCCATGGAAGCGTTGCGAAAGTCGCCGTAGCTGCACTGGGTGCACGTGAGTTGTACCCCTCCTTCGTTCGTCCAGCCGTCGTCACAGGGCACGCAGTCCGACGCATTGCTAGCATCCTTCCGAGGTACAGAGCTGGGGGGGCACTGTGTGGGTTCACAAGGAATCCCTAACAAGATGGAGTTTAACATGAGAATTTAAAACCACAAGTACCTTCGCCAGGACTAAAAGTCCCGAGGGGGCATGGGGTACACGTCCTGCCGTCCACTGTTGGCGCGAATCCCTGAGTGCAGTTCGGAGCGCCGCAAAGCGCTGCCCCTCCCACGGAGGTTTGAGTCGCGGGACATGCTTCGCAGTCCGTGGCGGACGTGGCATGCTCTCTAAAAAGATATGATCAACTAGAACTAGAGACGACACAATTCGTACTTGGCTTGGTTGCCAAGTGGACACAACGCTGGCTGGCATGTTAGCGAAGTGTTTTCGTGTGAATACCAGCCTGTGACGATCATCGTGAGTGTTTTGTGGTTTGAAATATAATATGGGAACCTCGGGGACAAGGAACACAGGCAGCGCCATTGGCTGCCAAAGCACTAGGTTCAAAGCCCGCAGGACAAGTAAACGAAGTACACGTCGCGGCTGCACCCCCTGCTGCAAACGTGCCTCGAGCACACTCGACACAGCCTAGTTTTATTTGGTGACATTCAAACCTTTAAACGAAGATAATTTGGTTACTGGAAACTGGATCGACTCCCAAGGCTGGGGCGTACGTGCCCGGGGGACAGTCAGCAGGCAAGCAAGTGTCGCCGGCCGCGTAAGTGCCTGCTCCACAAGGCGTACACGTGTTGTCCGCCGTCGAGACAGTCCTGCACGCAGTGACGATAAGTTTGCATGGCCGAACGCGCAATACAATCGGTCAGTACATAATCCTACCCGTTGGGGCAAATCTGACAAGAAGATGTGGCGTCGGTAGCCAATAAAGTAGCCACCGACCCCAGTGAGCACGCAGTAGGTGCACAAGGTTCCGCCCCTATTTGGACAATGCATATGAATGTTGTACCGACAAGTGGTTCGCTAGACTACGGACTCACCGCCGGGAGAAAACGTGCCCAAAGTACACGGCCTACAATCCGACACCGACGTGGCAGGCACTTGCGGCTCACGCCCTGCAGCGCACTGGAGCGCAGCGCAATCTGCAGCCAATGGTCACGTTTCAGCAGTCAGGACGCGAATTGTTCAAAGTACCGGCGGTGCCATTAGGAAACGTGCCCCGAGGACATGGAGTGCAGTCAGTGGTGGAGGTCGGCGCGGCGTTGGGAATCGCACTACACACCAAGTCAGGACACAAGGTGAGGATAAGCAGCGTACCCTGGGGCACACTGCAGTGGCGTGCAGTAGGTCGACCCAGCGGGGGCGTACGAATTGGAGGGACACGGCACACAGCGACTGCTGCCGCCTTCTCCGCTCGTCCGTTCGTCGCAAGGAGAGCAAGAGTCCGTGGCGTCCGTGGCTCCGACTACTGTGCTAGCCGAGCCGGGAGGGCACCGCAGTGGTTGGCACAACGACGTGCCAGTAGCTACAGGAAATCAATATCGTCGTGAGAGGTTTATTTCACGGCAACGCTTCGTCGTGAACACTACCGTCATGGTAATAGCCCGATACACATAGCAAACAATCGGTAGCATTCGCGGCGTATCCTGCTGGCTCAGAGCCTGGCCCACACGACACTGGAAACTATTGCAAAACAGGTTGCCAGAGTATTCAGGTTTACGATACTATACCTGACATTGTCCGAGTGACCCATCGTTCCAAGTGCCGTAGCTGCAGGGTAAACAATCAGACGACGACAAGCTTGCCGGATAATGACCCACGTCACAAGCTGATGCCATGGCCAGCAGCCACACGGCGCGAGCCAAATGGCCCATAGGTGGAGGGTGCATTTCGAACGATCACAGCAAATGGTGTTGTGGCAACGGAACTTTATCGACATTGTTCGCATCGAACGTTTGGGCAGTCCTTCGAATAATAGACGCGTCATTAATACAGTATGCTTGCATGCTGTTTCGTGAGATTACTGTAGTGAAGCAGGATAACGAAATCTTGGATAAAAAACAGAGTTTATTGTGATAACGTTACTGTAAGGTGATTCATGTAATTCCCGGCCAGCTTGGCCTACTTTCTGATGTGTGTGCCATACAGTATCGTCACCCATTCATCCGATGAGGCTGCGAAAACATGCATTTTGAAGGGCGTGACGAGTACAATTCCTCATTAAAACAGTTCCACTGTTGTTTTGACCCGAAATACTGTTTCAATGAGATTTATAAGGAACTTGGTATGCTCAGACCACCTCACCTCTTACTAGGGCATCGCTAGGTGCACTTAGAGCCGGAGATTTAGCATCGTATGTACTCACTCTGTGGGGTTCGGTTTGTGTGGTGGTTGCTTTACTGTTGGTACTTTGTATCCGGATGAAATAATTCCGTTTTTGCAACATTTTTTCATGTATTTGTTCGCTTTGGGAGTTTTTTCACTTTGTTGATGTCGCCTGTTTTGTTTCCGGGTGTCTCTTTGGTGGTGGCATTTTTCAAATTGGCTTCTGGTGTCGTTCTTGCGTGTGTGTGCGTTTTGTATTCTTGATTTGGGTGATTCGGTCCTGAGCACTTTTTCGTTATGTTCTGTTTCAAGTTTTGCGGTGCTTACATTTCGATCGTGCCCGTCGTCTCGCCGTGTCTTTCGTTTTCGTCGTTGTCCATCTTATTTCTTGGAAGCCTTTGATATACGAGTAGTAATTTTGTCGGCTGCTTGTCGGTCGCTGTTTGTGATTGTCTTGGCGTTTGGTGGTGGGCGGGCTTTATCTGAATCGCTTTTGTGGTGTTCTGGCTTGCACCCCATGACATTATGTCCTGACCTGTTTTTGTATGTGTGGTTCTTTTTCCGATCGTCTCGTTTTCTATGGACGCGGTGCGGATCGAAAGTTGTGTGGATTCTGGTTTTGTTCTTGATTTCGTCTGTTCTGTTGATGGTTTCGAGGTGCCTGTCATTCTTTCTGCGATGTTGGCTGATGTCGGTCCATTTTCTTTCCTGGTGTGGCATCTCACTGCTGCTTTTTCATCCGATGGTGGCGTCCTTTTTTTCACTTTGTTGGCATCTGTTGGGGCAGCCTTTGGGGCGATGAAGTATTTGGATTTTTTGCTCTTTTCTTGTCTACTCGTTCATTTTGTGCGCTTTTTGGTTGCTTCCCTCCCTTCGCGTATTGCTTTTTTTCCGGTTTGTCCTGTTGGTTCAGTTTCCGAGCTGTTTTTTGGCATGCATTCAACGGTCTTCCTATCTGTGATGGAGGCTTTGCATCTCCGTCTTGTTGTTGTTTCTGCAGGTATCGGATGTAATGCAGCTTCGAAAACTCCTTGCGGATTTAGGTTGCGTTGCTTTTATCTTTTCTATGTGCAGTGCGCCTATTTTTCTCGTTATGGTTTTTGTTTATATATTCTTTTTGGATGTGCGGTTGCGCGTCTTTCTTTGTTTGTTTTTTGTCTTTTGGTTCTTTTGTTTTTTTCTTTGTTTTTCCATTTCGCCCACGTGTTTTGCATGCGGTGATGCTTGTTGCTTTTGTTGCCTTTTTTGTTTTTGTTTGCGCGGTTGTTCTGGGTCCGTTGGGCCTTTCGCGCCGTCCGCATTCGTGGTTGTTTTTGGCCGTTGTCGTCGGGTTGGCTGTTGTGTGGAGTACGATGGCTGGTTGCGCTGCAACCTGCGCTGCAGTCAAGCAACGTGTGACAGCATTGTGTCCCGCGTGACGAGCTGTTGGCTAGATGCCAACCCCCGGCTGCATTACAACACCGTATTTGGTAGCTCTGCACTGTGTGACCCATTCAGATGTCTTCGCGACTTCTGAACAAGTGTCCGGCATCAGCGCAACACGAACTCACTGCTACGTTTGGCCAAGTTTCACGTACACTGTTAACATACCTTTCCGATACCATTGCGTTGCCTTAAACATCGCCCGTGGTCGGCAGTTGCCTGTGGGTTTGAACGTCTTGGTGGGATTCCAAACGCTATTTGGATGATCGATGGCAGCTTGATAGCCGTCTAACGATTTTATGACCACGAAGGGTAGTATTGTCGCAAGTGCTTTTTTATTTATCTCGATGAGAAAATTATCCTATGTAGGGGTCGTCGTCGATCACAAGATGAGATTTATGTCGTTTTCCATCCGCTCCGGTTCACAAAACGACAAATCGTTGTCCAACCGCTCGCAATTTGGATTAGTCGCTCACAAAGTAAGCTAGTTGGAGTCGGTTCCTTGTTGGATTCACATTTTGTTAGGTTATTCCACCGGGGACATTTTTCCTTGCCGACTGTGGCTATAAGTTTTTCGAACATGCCGAATGGAAGCACACTGGGGGCGATATCACCAGATCGAGCCAGAGGAATTGAGTTGATGGCGACCAAGCTGTCAGTGCTAGCAATGCCTTAAAAACATAGATTGCGCTTGTGTAACAAAATAAATGAATAATCAACTTTCCATGTTATTGATTGTTATTCAAGCCCTTGAGATGCGTTAGTAGTTCACGCTGAATAGCATTGCCATTCAAAATATTTCCCTACAATGCCGCATGGATTTTTCGGCTTCTGTCATACTTTCAACAAGGGCGTCCAACTTTCCATTCGACGCATTCAAACTACCAATCGAGAGAATGTCCCTGGCAGGGAGATGTGGTCACTGATGGCATGGAGGGCTGCGCAGCGGTCATGCCATAGCTGCCGTAGGGAGTGGCCGCGGACGAGCCATCAGTGACCACATCTCCCCGCCAGGGACTTTCCCTCTCTTACTCCAGGCCGTGGCACAAGATCTTGCGGCGGGGTTATCTTCGCAAGTCGTTTTGTATCGATTCATGACGTCAAGCGTCGTGAACCCTAAGTACGAATATGAATGCATAACATTGTCATCGTATACAACATCATTACATGTGTTATTATCTACACTGCATTGAAATATCGTACCGACTCGAAACGACCGCAGGCCACCATTACCTACGCGCGGGGCTTGCCATCAACTTTTTCCACGCCAAATACGAATGGGTGATGGATTTCTTGATCTTCTTGGGCGGTTGGCAGATCCCAATGTTGCAACGCTTCTTCAACAGCCGGCACAGTACTTTTGTGGTACAACTCCTTGGTTCGCACATAGTTGATGGATTGTTGCACTTGCCGGAGAGTAGGACACGCTGCATCATCATAATTGCCCGACTGAAAGTGTACGCGCAGCATCTTGAAAAGGGTCTTCGCCGATCCATGACCGCAGGTCGTGTAACATGTCTTCGCTCACCTATTGGCACCAATATCAGAATCATTGTTATGAATTGTTACCACCCAAGTTCGTACATGGGGCTTGACCGGTGATGCTATTCCATCCTCACCCATCCTGTGGTATCCACACATACTGACAACAGTAGTACTGGACACTTGACAAGTTTGGATCTTGTACGCAGCCTCACACCGCGGTATTCATTCGTCGTTGGTGTGACATATTTGGCTGGTGCACCTAGTGTACTGTGACTTCATTTGATGAGGCTGGGCAAGGTGCGTGTAGTGCTCGTCAACATGAACCAATGTGCATGCGTCGCTGTTTGAATGTGATACACCAATGCGAGGTAGTGTTAGTCGGAACGAGGGAAACTCGTCACTTGGTAGCGTATGAACGTGGCGAAACGCGGTCATGGGTGTAATGATGATATTGGACATGTAGAGTTTCCTTTGAATAAATTGAGGATAATTCAATCGTTACATTGAAAGATTCGTATACTTGTGGAGTAGCAAATTGTAAAAAACTACCCAAGAGATACGTAAATGGGTTAAATAAGTTACGTTAACAGTAAGTTACATGTGTATTTCTGTTGTACGAAACCGTACAGTAGCCAATTATAAAAAACTACCTGATCGTTTCACACTTCGTCATTCTGTCCTGTCAGCATGGACGATGATGTCGCTACGCACAACGTTGTGTTTGGCGATGGGCATGAATGTGTCCCGTTCAAGATAGGAGAAGGCTACTCCGGAGCAAGACGGATCGTAAAGAAATGCTTCGTGTGCGTTGGTAACATGAACAGGGGCACTACAAAATACTGTTCTATTTGTCGGGTGCCTGTCTGTGCCACAAACAACGAACCCACAGTCGATTGAATGTAGCTCAAAATCGGTAAATCACAGATCCGTCACGTTATGTATATAAAATCCACATACATATAGTACATCGATTAATCTTATCTTGTAAAATCCATGGAATGCAACGAATCAGATGTCTTAGATTTAGTTGCGACGGTGGTGGCAAGCACTACATCGGTCTTCATCAGTAGGAGTCGCGACAAGCTCTACCGTGATTGGTTGCACTGGCACTACAACTGGCGCGTCTACTCCTAAAGCACTAAGCACGTCGTATGCGTCAACGCCAACTTTGCGACCTATTTGCATCATCAACAAAAGAGTCGCCTTCGCTACGAGTCACGTCAACAAATTCTATCATCATACGACATCGTCCTCGTTAGATGGAGCGTCCTCGAGTGGGGGGCGTCGATCTTGGCTCCAAATCTTTCGCGGCCGTTGCGGACCCACTCCAACTTATGGACAGACACAACATGTGTATTGAACCCATCGTTGGAGTGCTGTCACGTCTTGTCACATGCCACGCTGTCGTCGATCTTGCACAACCACTTTCGTCTGTAATTGCTCCGTTGGCTCGACATTTTCGCAATGGTGACATAGCTGGTGAGGCTAAATCCAGATAAATCGTCCGGATAATGTTACGTCCATTCGATTGGGAGTACTTGATTGGCAGCTGCATATAGTGCTGTTGTACAGGGAACGACGGAATGCAAGGCCTACTTTGTCTTCGAGTCCTACGTGAATTGGATCATTTGATTGGATTGCTAACTTCGATGTACGTTTCGTTTTGAGCCAATCAATGCGCAATTTTGAAATTTTTATTCACGCTGAGTGACGTCAATTCATTTTATTGCAGGTAATTATATTGTGTAGTATGATTTCCCACCGATATGGCTTCAAACGACAACAATATGGGATGTAAAGAACCAGGTAATCGGTTTACGATGTGTGTCCTACACAAAATATATGAATGGATGGATGATTCCAGTCGCGGTAGCTCAATGGTTAAGGGTTACGGCATCAAAGTAATAGAGGAAGGGGCCCGGGTTCAATTCCCAGGAAGTGTCAAACCTTTTCCAATTATTTTACATTAATCTAAATCCTGTTACAAGAATGAAGATAACTTAAATAATTAATTGGACATCCTTCAGTGAGGGAGAGCTTTCTCGAAACTGCGGCGAATCTCTTGGCTCGACACAAGGTCCCATGCTGCAATCGACCACTTCACCAATGCCATTCGCTTTTGTCGCGAGGTAAGCGAAAATGGGTCGTCATCATCACCAACAATGATGTCTTCGAGCAGCCACAAGTTACGAAGGTTGCGCTTAAACGGCGCCATCACCCCAACGTCAAGGGGTTGACACACCGACGTCGCGTTCGGTGGCAACGCACACAGGTGGGCTCCTAGCTCCTCGTACATCATGTTGTACAACTCACCCGACACATGTGACTCAAGGTTATCCAGCAGCACGACTGACGGCTTCTCGATGGCTTCGCCGAGGACATCCCGAAGGTACGTGGCCCATACACGCTTGTCCATCCAGGCACGCTCCTGAACCACGTAGTGATGGCCGGGAGGGAACGTGCTGAGCTCGTCGATGCGACCGCCAGGCACCCCCTTCATGATGAAGAGGATGGGCAGCTTGGTCCCATCAGCTCGTACCGTGAGTACCGCCGTCATGCGAAGCGAATGCTTCTCCCGGCTCAAGATATTGGACCTTCCGCCTCGCACCACCCAAATGTAGCGCGGCGGCATGTCGTAATAGATGCATGTTTCATCAACGTTGTACACGCACTTCTTGCCGTACGCAATGTACTCGCAGTGGAACTCCGCGGCGAAGTCGCTCTACACCTCAGCAAGATCGGCTTGCTTGACCTTGTTGTTGGTGGGACGCTGGCGGGAGAAGCCGTGACGATAGCAGAAGCGCTGGGGTAGGCGGAAGAGAGAGTCGTACGACGTCGACTGTTTCTTGGTGGCGAGGTAGTTGTTCAACCACTTACGCTGGTTGGCCTTGATCCACAGGATGAGATGCGTTGTCGTGAGGGCACGCTCGTTGTCGCGGACATGGTTTATGAACTCGATGAGTCCTGGTGGGTCTGGAAAGACCTCGTATCTTCCACCAGGCTCAAGCTTAATATTTTTCAAGTTACCGTCGTACGCTAGAATCTCGTGTCTTTGGGACATCCAATTGCGCAACGTGCGTCGCGAAACGTCCAGTGCTGCGGACACCTTGTAGTCGGACATGGTTTCCAGCATTCCAAACGCTTGGAGCTTCGTCGATATTGGACACCCCCGTCGTCTCATTTTTAATTGGGCTTGTCGTGGAGAATTTTTTTGTATTGAAACTGCCGGGAAGTATTTTAATTCCGCCAATCATCAAGCTGTATTTATTCATTCAAACGTGATTGGATGTTGTCTACCATTACACCAATAAATCTTCGGTAGGCCTTGCATTCCGTCATTCCCTGTATTAGTTTTGAACGTTTTAAACAGGAACTATAGTGGAAACCATGCGTTACACCTTCCCGTTATTTGAGCTGTCTCGCAGGAACTTTAAACGGTTATCGCATATCTACTCTCCTACTAACCACAATGCAGTAACGTCACCGCACTATATTTCCTTCCTCCTGGCGGGTGTGGCCTGTCCGTTTGTAACGGTCGTCTGGTTTTCAATCTTTTTCCCTCGATTTTTCTGGCCCCTACCCTCATCTAATATCCGTCATCCGGATATTCTCACCTGAAACTGGACAGCTCTGGCTGTCAGGACCAGAAAATTATAAGACACAGATGGCTCGAACCATGGACCACTCGCTTACGAAGCGTTTTCACTGCCGTCTGAGGTAGGGAGGACCCCAAGTTATGATTGTGATTGGCCACTCGTGGCTGGGAATAGATCACCTTAAAAAATCAATATAACGTTAAGGCATCTCTGGAAGGCGGCTCGGGGGAACTTCCAAATCTCCACGCTCAGACAACTTTTTCAACCTCTGAAACTTGGAGATTGAAGCTGAAATAATGCTTTACAACCTTATACCGAATGCATTGTGTTTTGCAGTCGTGTTGCACGAGAAAAACCAATCAAATTTGATACCATTTTGAGAATCGATTTATGACACATGTTGTTATCTTGCTCAAAGTGTGATCATTGCTTACAACTTTTGTGTTTTTAATTATAGAAGAACATCCGTCCTTTATAAGGGGCTCTTCCACGTACAATCGTAATTGAAACCAAAAATGCGCTACCAAGTAAAATTGTCCTTGTTTGATCATCGATTTGTCGTGTTTTGACCATGAATTTCACTTTAACGTGATTGGTCAGCGCCAATTTCGTCATCACTTTCTAGTCGCATTTGTCGTCGATATTCCGTTGCATACGGTAACCATAGCGAATTGTCAATATTGACCAATCGCCCTCGACTTTCACTGGTGCACACACAGTCATTCATTTTCAATGGCAGCGCGAACAAAGGCCAAGACGCCCATGAAGAAGGAGTTGACCGAGCGTCTTGCCCGACTGGAAGCTGCGAACACAGTCGGCAATTTTGGTTCTCTGAGCACGGAAGACGAAGTCGCTCAAAACAAGAAGCTCATGTGGAGGGTGGACATGGTGCAAATACTCCTCGAGCTTCGGTTACGCACATTCTCGGCCGCATTCGGCGGCTCCAAAAGCAATAAGCAGTTTTCCATGCTCTAGGAGAAGATTGCACTGCGGCTCAGCGTTGTGTTGGGGGTTGCTGTATCACACTATACGCCCTGGGCTCTCAGCGTCGCCTCCTCAACTCCCCACCCATCCCTCCATCGCGCGGACAGACCCCAGTGCGCATGGACGGTGTGGTGTTCTTTCACGGAGCGTCCCGCTTGGACGCGGCATGTGAGGAGTCCGGCGCCTTGGTTATGCCCCGCGACTACCCCATCCTTTGCGACTATGATGCGCACTACATCCCTACAGCCACGACCAACAACCAAGCCGAGTACGATGGCCTGCTACGAAGCCTTCAGCTGGCCACGATCCGCGGATACATCCACCTTACGGTATACGGGGATAGCCAACTGCTCGTGCGTCAAATGCAGGGTATCTGCAGTGCGAGATACTCCTGGCCCCGCGCCCAGTACCTCCAGGCCCGCCGCCTGGTACTAAAATCCACTGTACATGGTGCCACCGACCTCGGGAGGGAAATCAACAGCGGTTTTCCTGTCCAAATTGGCGCCGGATGACTGCTCTTCGTACACCTCGTAGGATGGGCCGGAGTACGGCCCTCTACCATCACGGCAGCTCGCCCTGCTCTATGATTTCCTGGACTTGGATCTCGCCTTCAACCCTGGGCAGACCCCACACCATTTGCCCCATTAGTGTAGCTTTGTATAATTTTACCAGTCATCCACCAACATAAAAAAATGCAGTGAAATTGAGTGGACAAAATTAAATACTCTTGATTAACATTAAAGGGCATTTTACCCACTCGACTAAAAAAGCGCGCCACTTTCGAAATGACACGCTACTCGCGCGAGGAATGCGGTAGGGGAAGAGTGCACTTTGATACAATTGATGCAAGACAACGGTCGCATGAGTTGACGGGCTCACAAATAGTAGAAGATGCCGACCTGACTGACACGGATCCGACCTCGCGTCCAAGTTTGTGAGGGAAACATATTGATGTCGTCCGTTTTACCATATATCATACGTACCCCCCCCCCGTATTGTGTACAGTGCTGGCAAAAAGTTTAGTATCACCCCCAATTTAGCACATAGAACGGAGATGCGTTGCAATGGGAGTAAATTCACGACACTACAGCTACAGTGAGGAGTGTGGGAGGCTGGGACAACAACCTTGCAAGCTCAAACCACATTATCCGCGCCAAATCAGAAAAAAATGTGATACTAAAAAACGATCCTGGCAAAATGTATAAAGCCACCAAGCCCATGGTTCTCAAAACTACAACAATATTCTGACAAAAAAGGTCTCAATACCTGTTTAACCACCTTGCAGCTCCAAGACACTTACGCAGCGCTTTTGCATTGAGTTGAGAAGCTTATCGATCAAGTCTTGACCAATGTTGTCCCGCGCCTTGAAAATTGCTGCCTTGAGTTCTTCCTTCGTCAAAAATTGACTCCCATGAGCATACACAGCTCGCGTAAGCACACCCACATGTTTTCAATTGGATTCAAGTCAGGGGACTTCGATGGCCACTTCATGACACGCAAACCTTGCTCTGCCAAAAAGGCTTTGGTCTCTTTGGAGGCATGGATGGATGCGTTATCGTGCTGGAACTCACAGTCTCACCCAAAATTAACATCCCCAAAGGGAAACAAGTACTCAGACAGTGTGTCTACGTAAGCAGAGCTGTCCTGGTTCCCCTCCAAAATGGCCAGCTGAGTCTTTTCCTTTGAACAGAATCCACCCCACCCCATGACACTACCACCACCAGATTGTCGCTTGGAACATATCGTTTTTTCCTTGCGCAAATCGTGCCAGTAAAACTTCAAGCCGTCCGGCCCGTCAAGGTTGAACTTTTTCTCGTCGCTAAATACGACGGTCACCCACTTTTGATCGTCCCAGGTTACCTTTTCGCGGGCCCAAACTGCCCGTTCAACCTTGTGTTGTCGGGTCAGCAATGGTGAGGCCATGGCCTTGATGTTCTCAAGGTGTTGGGTACTTGCAAGAAGTTGGTGAGCACGGCGTGCCTTAATGCTTAGGTCGCAGTGGTTCACAAGCTCCCGGGAACTCAGGAATGAGTTGGAAGTAGTCCGCAAGATGCGGCGCACGTCGCTAGGTGTGACCTTTGGTGGTGCTTGTTCTTGTCATAAGCTGCTGGGGTGCTTAGAAACAGAGCTATGGCACTTCGAGAGCGTCCTACGAGTCTTTCAATCTCTCGTAGGCTCTTTCCAAGTGCGCTCAGGGTCAAAGCCATGCCTCTCTCCTCCTCAGACAACTTGGGACCCGCTGGCATGACTTCGCGGTGTTTTCAAACAAAACAAAGGCGGGAATCAATTAAACTCAATCTGGGAACGTACTCTTGTGGCTAAAAGACGGCGGAAAGTACATAAAAAACGTTGTGGTTTTATACTTTTTGCCAGGACCGTTTTTTTATTATCACGTTTTTTCTGCTTTGGCGCGGATAATATGGTTTGAGCTTGCAAGGCTGTTGTCCAAGCCTCCCACACACCTCGCTTTACCTGTAGTGTCGTGTATTTGCTCCCATTGCAACGTATCTCCGTTCTATGTGCTAAATTGGGGGTGGTCCTAAACTTTTTGCCAGCACTGGATACAGTATGACAGGTGATATTTCACAACCGGCCGACACTCGTTCTCAAAATTTTGTTACCAATAATCCATTGCGTCATACAAATTTGAAGTATATTCAACATATTCACAAGTAAATATCAGTTATTACAAGAAAATTATCAGTTATTACAGGAGTCGCAATAGATTAATCCGTCGCACTATACATATACACTATACGGGTACTTCTATGCGGTGCTACAGTAACGTTATACAGTAATATAGTGCAGCTCAATAGATCTCCGCTGAAACTCTCACTCGGTTTGTGTACGTTGTTCACGACCAGGTATCTCTTTCCCCCGTCATGTAGTGCCTGTCTTTCAATGTTGCGAATGAGTCTCATGACGTAACCTGAAGATCGAGCGGGCCGTTGACCGACCTTCTTCCACGGCGATTCAAGGTATGCTAATACTTAAATCGCCCCATGGTTGACAGACGTTACTTATCTACCCAATGCTCTACCAACGCACATATCAGCGGCAACACGATCTTAATCCTCCTACTGTACCACCGCGTAACTGACAAAAAACGGACAGTGTGGACGGCTGCTTCAGCACTTGATCCCAAGGGCTTCGAGAGTGGCATTTCCGTCGCACACGATTGCAAAAACACCTTCATCGGACAACTTACATGAGCAACGACAAACTGGTACTAAGTCAACGTCCGTCCGTCCGTCCCTAGGGACTGCGGATGGAGAGGTGACGGTGTCTTGTGTAGGGCCAACAACTGTTGAATGCAGCGTGTGGTGGAAGACTCGAGACTGTGCAGCAGTGTATTTGGCAAGGGGCCAACGTCAACTGGAAAAACCATGTATGATATACATCATCGGTCCATGGGGAGGCGGGACCCACTGAATACAGTATGTCTGCGGACTTAGGCTACATGGACCCCACTCCACTGGGCCTCACTTGAAGGACACTTAAATGTTGTGAAGTTATTGGTGTCACATGGCGCCGACCTTCATATGACTACTAATGTAAGTGCCGCGAGTTGGGTGTGTGGACTTCATTTAGAAATAGGATGGATACACCTCACTCCACTGGGCCTCGTACTATGGACATTTGAGCGTGGTGCAGCAGTTGGTCGTCCTAGGCGCTGACATCCACGCGACGAATAATGTTTGTGTGGCAGAGACAGGCTTTGTGTCTCATTTGGACATAGGATGGAAAAACTCCACTCCACTTCGCCTCGCAATATGGACGTTTGAGCGTGGTGCAGTGGTTGTTGGACGCGGGGGCTGACAAAAAAAGGACGACCATGGTTGGATCAACATGATGATATTGAGTGTATTGTGCTGAGGTTTTGTGAGGAAGGATGGTCGCACTGCGCGTGACTTGGCCGAGAGCTCAGGAGAATCTGCCATTGTTACTACGTTGGACAAACGCGAGACAGTAATTCAGACGGCTCACGCGAACAAATCGACCAAAACCAAGGTTGCTACATGATCTTAAAGTTATTTATTGGTTTACGCTCAGTTTCTCTGGGGTAGGATGGACGCACTGCGCCAACCGAGGCTACGGGGGAGACTTCACCCTCCCCCACCCTGCAACCAACGCCACCTTCCTCGCCACCCAAGGCTGCCTCCAACCCCCAAATCCCTGCAACCTCGACAGAAGTGGCTACCTGGGGACAAGGACCTCCGCGCGAAGTGTCGGTGGCGGAGGTGCAGCAGTGGACGGACAACTTTTCTCCTGCGAGAAAGATCGGGGAAGGTGCGTTTGGGGACGTGTTTGAAGGCCAGTGCCAGTCCATTCCAGTGGCTGTGAAGCGACTCAAGCCGACCCTTCGACTCCAGGGGGATGAGGAAACGGATCGGGCGGTGCTGTCCACTATCCGCCGAGAGATTTACGTCCTGTCCAAGTTCCACCACCCCCACATCATCCGCTTACTGGGATTCACCAGTGTGGCGTCCGTGGCCCAAGAGCTCTGTCTCGTGTACGAGCTGGGGTCGCTGGGGTCGATGGACCAGAGTCTCGTGGACGATGCCCGGGCCTCTGACCTGACGTGGAAGGTCCGAGTCCGCATCGCCGCTGCGGTGGCGAGGGCCATCAACTACCTCCACTGCCACGACGAGAAGAGTCCCACGTTCCACCGAGACATCAAGAGCGCCAACATCGTTCTCTTCCACGGCTTCGTCCCCAAGCTCATTGACTGCGGCCTCTCCAAGTTTATCCCAGACCCAGCCACCACCCACCACCTCGGCTCGATCATGAGCACCAAGGGCATGGCACTTGGGACCCCTGGCTACATGTGCCCCACGTACATCCGCAAGCTCCAGTACGACGCCAAGTCGGAGATCTATTCGTTTGGCATTGTGCTGCTGGAGCTCCTCACGGGTCGGCTCATGTCGTCTCGTCGCGACGGCCAGGATCTGTACGACGAGTACATTGAGGACATGACGCCGATCGGCCCAGACTTGGACGCGCGGGCCGGGCCGTGGTCCGTCGAGTGCGCCCAGCGACTGGAAGCCCTCGCAAGGGAGTGCTTGGCACCGTACAAAACCCGCGTGAGTTCCATGCTCACGGTGTTGCGGCGACTGGTGGAGCTGGAAAAGACCTACTGTGCAGCCACTCCCGAGGAAATCCGCATGACCCAACTGGTGGAAGACTTGCAGCGGCAGGTGGATGCGTTGCGAAGCAGTCCGAAACAGCCGGCAGAGATTCTCCGCATGTGCAACATTTGCTTTGACCAAAGCGCCAATGGCCTCGGTTGTGGTGCTGGCGACGTGCTGCACTTTATATGCGCCGACTGCGCCCCCCACGAGGTGCAGAGAATACTCAATGAAATCGAAGCCGAAGCCACGCAGCTGGCGCGCCATCGAGCCCAAGGCGGGCGCATCCAGTGCGTGATGCCCGGCTGCGACGCCGTGTACTCCGAACAAGCCCTGGCCAAGGTCCTCCCAGACGCTATCTTCGGCCACTACCGGGCGGCGCAAGATGCGGTGGTGGAGCAGCGCCAGTACACGTACCACCAAGAGCGCTTTCAACTGGAGCTGGAGGCTGCCAGAGCCGAGTTCAAGCGATCCAACGACCTCGCCAGGACCCGGCAAGACGCAGCTGCGACGGCCGAGTTCATGCGGCGACAGTTCCCGAATGCCGTGCAGTGTCCCAGGTGTGGGGCTGGCCCTGTGATCCCTGAGAACTGCTACAACCTGAAGACCCACCATGGGGAGAGCACGAGCGGAGGCGGTAGGATCAGCAACGCGTGTCCATCGTGCCAATTTTTCACCCCCGAACGAAGTGTCTGGGCGAATTGGGATGGTCAGATGCGATAGGTACTGTACTACCAGATACTGGTAGTATACTGGAGTAGATTTGAAACGCAATGGTGATGTGGTTATACACATTTGAAACTTTGCATTTAGTAGCACAGTGTCTCGAGTAGAATCTAAAGCGCTGTGGGCGATGACGATGGCCGATATGTCTCAGTTCGGTGGTGGCAGATGTTCTGCATATCTTGACTTCATGCACTCCCTTGTGCATAATGACAAGGCCTATAGCTCATTTTAACTGCATAGGCCGCACAATATCACGTATAAACGTTGAGGAAACGAGCGCACAGTTGAGCGATGATGATGTCGACGACCGACGCTCGATTCGACGGGGCATTCCATCCGCCGTTTCGTGATCCAAAATGGTCTGCTATTTTTAGTCTTTCCGGAACACACCGTAAGCACCATCGGACAACACGCATGGGCAATCATTTGGTACGAAACCAGCGTTCATGGAGACTGCGTTGGTGGCGGAACCGTAATGAAGAAAGGATCGAAAGACTGGTACACTGTCCGTTTATGGGAACTCAAAATGAGTCATCCACGACTTCTTATGTAGAACATAGAACTGTTCAATGCATCGATTGGTGGAAACCTCAAGTCGGTGCGCAAGCTCATTCAGCAAGGGGCCAACGCGAGCTGGGTAAACCAGCAGGTAGGATATACAACGGTCCAACAACATACATGACCTATTGGTTTCAATGGAAATAGGGTAGGCAAACCCCGCTCCACGCAGCCTCAGGCTGTGGACATTTTCAAGTGGTTCAGGAGTTAGTGGTATATGGTGCCAACATCCACGCGACTGAAGAGGCATATTTGTGAGACTGGTGTTGGCCCTCATATGGAAATAGGAGGGATGGACCCCACTCCACTTTGCCGCACTAAAAGGACATTTAGCAATTGTGAAAGAATTAGCAGTCCAAGGCGCCAACATCCACGCAACGACTAATGTATATGTGACAGAGTCGTTGTGATGCAGGACCTCATCTGGAAATAGGATGGACAGACCTCGATCTACATTGCATCAATAGAAGGACATTTGGAAGTGGTGAAGGAATTTGTAAGCCGTGGCGTCGACATCCACACAGTTGACAAGGTACGAGTGACAGTGACGATTATGAGCCTTGATCTGTAAATAGCTTGGATGGACCCCACTCCACTGTGCCTCCACCAAGGGAGATTTGAAAGTGGTGAAGGAATTGGCGATCAATGGCGCCGATATCCACGCAACTGCACGTGTACAGTACATATGTGGCATAAGCTGGCGTGGGATCTCAATTGGAAATAGAATGGATTTACCCCACTCCACGTCGCATCACGCCAAGGACACTTGGACGTGGTGCAGTGGTTAATACACGCGGGGATTGACACAAAGAGGATTTGCAAGGTAGGGTCAACATATCTTACTATTCATTCATTCAGTTTCTGCGGGGTAGGATGAACACACTGCTAGTACCGTGGCCGGCGGTACGAGTAAGGCTGCCATTGTTGCTGCGTTGGACAAACATGTACATGTAATATCAGAACCTCGCGGGGCCCGCACAGCTATATGGCTTGTCACTCAACTGACGCTGGGAACATAGGTTGGATGGACTGAACTCCACAGTGCAGCCTTTCGCGGATATTTGGAGGATGTGAAGACCCTGGTAACAAATGGGGCCGACATTCACGCCTCGGGCGATGTACGAGAGCTGCAAAACATGGTATTATTGGTTGTTTATAGACCTGCCTACAGGATGGAAACACCCCCTTGCACATCGCATCAAAGGAGGGACATTTGAACATTGTGCAGTGGTTGTTGGTCGAGGGGGCTGACACAACTAGGACTACCAAGGTTGGGTCACCACGATGCTTCTCGCCGGGATGAATTTCTGCGGCGTAGGATGGACACACGGCTCGCGATTCAGCCCAAAGGAAGTCTATTCTGATTGCCTATTCTGAACACGAGGTATATTTTACCCCTTGTATCGGTCAATAACTCATCGATTCTAATAGGCAAAGCTAACCGATCGAGGCATCGCCAGCTTTTGTGCTGGCGTCTACGAATCGGCAGTGGCTGATGCAAACCAAGCCGTCGCGTCGACTGAAAGGAAGGATATCTCAGCGTTCGCTTGGTTGGGGGAAGCATTTCTTCGTCGAGACCAGTACGATTTTGCTTTGGCTGCGTTTCAAGAGGGTCTGCAAGTCAACCCAGAAGACGTGGACTGCATGGTGGGCATCAATGACACGAACGACTGCGTCGACGTGACCAAAGCATTTGGAGTGCCCGACATGTGGGCTGTCTTGGCCAAAGACCCATTCACACGGGATCTCCTCCGAGCCCCAAAATTCAAGGCTCTTATTCAAACTGTTCGAGACAAACCCAGCCAATACCTCCAACACAAGGCCGAATTGGCGAATGTATTGGCAATTCTCGAGACCCACCGCCAATCCACCAGACCCCTGACCCCCGTCCCTATTTTTCCGCCTCTGTCTTTGTCACTCAAGGCTGCCTCAAACCACCTCGTCCACGGCAGCGCTGCCGAAGTAGCTGGCGAGGTATCGTTTTAAACTATTGTATCGTCGCTGCAATAACATTTCGTTTTTGATCTTGGCAGGCAATACGGATCGCGCTTGTGGACCGGTTGACTACGAACAAGGTTACTTCAAACTCTTGTTATTTACGGAGCATTTCATTTAGCTTTTGCGGGGTAGGGTGGCCGAACGTCTCGTGTAATGGCTGGGGCGGGCGATTAATACTGACTTTGCGAATGCCTTTCATAGCATGAGTTTCACTTAATCCTCGCTTGCCTCATGGGTCTATCAGACAGGTCAAGCTGTGTCGATATTTCTTGCAAGTGGTTTTTCGTCGGAATTGAAATACTGGGCATCCTCACATACAAATTTCAAATGCAGCGAGAGTTCACCAAATAGTTCGACGTATTCCAACATTTCGGCAGTTACTACTACTTGGAACTTCCCCTTGCTGTTAATAAATGTAGGAATGCGAATCCGTCATGAGGAGGACGCTGCTCGCTGAAGTTATGTTTACACGTGAGCAAGTGGCATTGCACCTTAGCTCATGTTACCCTCACCATACCTACGAAATACTTTCCTACGGACGGAGTAGGTCTTCATTCTACGCCATCACTGTGCCCTTCCTGCTTAAGATTAGCCAATATAATCGTTGTCGGAATGGAGTGTCGGAATGAGTACAACCATATGCAATTATAAACTGTTTTTTCCTCTTTAAATGGGGACGTGGTATGATCAGACAACTAACACCCAGGGCTGAATATTGTACGTTCCCCGTATCGGGGTTGGGATTGAGGATCGGGTCGGTTGTGGTTGAAGAGGCTCCGAGGTTCAATAGTTGCTGGTATGTATTTCAAGAAGAGCTTAAGAGTTTTTTAAAGAATACTGTAGATACCGTAGTGCCGAGTCAATACAGTAAAAAACGCTCGGGTTTCAGGTTTCAGGTAAAAATGGGCTATTTTTGATATAACGTTACGCTAGAGTTTCATCGATGCCCTTGTAGGTCCGTAAGGACGGCGAATGCGAACATGACATTTATCACGCCTCCGTTTCGCACAGGCACGACCATGTACGACCCCAGTGTGGCCAGGACCAGCTTGGACGGCCCCCATAGCCCCCACAGCTTTACGAGGCCGTAAAAGAACTCGGACGGGTACATCTTGTGGGTCGGTTAGAAACGGTGATTTGGCGTGTCTAAAACGGATGTGCCCCCCGCATCACGACCCTTCGAGACCTGCCATGACATGCTGAGTAACGTTGAGTTCAGAGTTGCCTGATTCTAAGCCGTTCCAAGCGAGCTGATAAAGATTGTCAGTACTTCACCCCCGAGCGAAGTACCTGGACTGACTGGGATGGCCAGACGCGGTAGAAGATAGCCAGCCCAATTGTTTTGGCGCTCTATTATGAATGGGAAACACAATTCGACCCCAGGCGTTTCGTGATCCGAAACGGTCGCATTTGCAAGGCACGCTGCAAGTGCAGCCAGAACAATTTGACATGGGCAACCAACTGGTACCAAGCCAGCGTCCATGGGGGCCGCTATTATGGTGGCGGAACTTCGATAACCGACTAGTACGTGTGGATGGATCGACGGTCGGCTGCCGACTGTGCCTTGTATAGGACCAACAACTGTGGAATGCAGCGAAGAGTGGGAACCTCCAGAAGGTGCAGCGGTGTATTCGGCAAGGGGCCAACCTCAAGTGGAAAGACCCAGAGGTATGGTATATATCAGTCCATGGACAAACGGAATCAACGCACTTGTGCCTTAGTATGGAGATAGCTCACTAACTTGGAAGCAAGAGACGATACTATGGATGGCTGGAGCCGACCTCTATGTGATGAATGCGGTAGCAACAACAGCAACGTATTAGGCCATCATCTGGAACTAGGGTGGATATAGTGCCCTCCACGTCGCCTCAGAAAGAGGACATTTGGATATTGTTAAAGCGTTGTTGGACCATGGTGCCGACCTCCACGCGACTAATACTACTGTATGTATCGGCAGAATTGGGTGTGGGAGGTGCTCATCTTCAATAGACAGGATATTCCCCACTCCACCTTGCCTTAGAAAATAAGCATTTGGAGGTTGCGAAAGCGTTGTTGGGTCAAGGCGCTGACCTCCACGTGACTACCACTGATGTATGTAGTATGGCTGAAATGGTGGTGGAAGCTAATCTGGAAATAGGATGGACAAACGCCACTCCACTTCGCCTCAAAAAATGGACAATGGGAACTGGTGAAGGAAATGGTGGCTCTTGGTGCCAACATCAATGCGACTGATAAGGTACATGTGACAGACAGAGACGGTTGTGGGCTCTCATGTGGAAATAGCATGGAAAAACACCACTCCGTAACGCCTCCGAACGTCAATATTCGAACGTGGTGAAGGAGTTGGTGCTACTTGGCGCCAATATTCGTGCGATTGATGAGGTATGTGTGGCTAAGGCGAGCGTGGGTCCTCATCTGGAAATAGAATGGATGGACCATACTCCACCAAGCCTCGTACTCTGGACATTTGGATATTGTGATAGAGTTGGCGGGCCATGGCGCCGATATCAACGAGACGGATAAGGTATGAGCGACAAAGACGTGAAACGTGTAGCCTCATCTGGAAATAGCTTGGCCGAACCCCACTCCACTTGGCCTCTGGCAGTCTAAAGGGCGAGGACGTTGTGCAGTGGTTGTTGGGTGCGGGGGCAGACGTAACAAGTAAGGCCAAGGTACGGTCAACACACTTTTCCTAAAGAATTTGCTCAGTTTATGTGGGATAGGATGGACGCACTGCTCGTGATGTGGCTATGAAAATGCGATATTGGAGAACTTTGAAAGTATTTTCACAGCACGAGCAGGTAAGCTCTTAACCTTCGTATCACTACAGTACTCAATGACTGTGACAGGCAATGTTAATTGATCGAGCAATCTCCAGCTTTTGTTCTGGCGCCTACGAGTTGGCCTTCAAAGATGCAAACCAAGCCATGTCATCGTCTGGAAAGAAGAATGTGTCCCCGTTTGCCGGGCTGGGGGAAGCTTTTCTTCACCGAGACCAGTACTGCGTAGCTTTGGCTGCGTTTGAAAAGGGGCTGGAAACGAACCCAGATGATGTGGATTGCATGGTGGGCATCCACGACACGAACGAGTCCGTCAACGTTGCCAGTGCGTTTGGAGTGCCTGACATATGGGCTGTCTTGGCCAAAGACCCTCACACACTGAATCTCCTCCGAGCCAAGTCGTTCAAGGCTCTTATTCAGGCTGTTCGAGACCATCCCAGTCAATACCGCCGGTATAAGGAGGTATTGGTGAATGTATTGGCAATCCTCCAGAAGCACCGCCAGTCCATTGGACCTCCGACCGCCGCCCCCATCCAGCCGACAATACCTTCGCAACCCAAGGCTGTCACCTCCAAACCCGTAGTCCCTATATATGCTGCAAAAGTGGCAGACGAGGTATCTTTTCAACCCTCAAATCACCAAACTGCTATAACACGGCTTCTTTGATTCTGGCAGGCAATACGACTGGCACTTGTGAACAGTTCGACCTTCATCAAGGTTGCGTGAAACTCTTGGTAATCCTGGAGCATTGTTCTCAGTTTTTTCTGTGTTAGGGGGGTCGCAGCGCTCGTGTCATTGTTGGGGCGGACGAAAAAGGTCTGTGAAGGTAATTTCACAGTAGATTCTATTAACCTTCATATCAGTATGCTTCCAATACCTACCAGGTTAACAAATCATATTCAGAGCTTTCTCGAGTGCCTTTCAAGTCTGGCCATGTCGTGAGTAGGAATGGCAGCCGCAATATAACATGGTGGAATGTCCAGATTTCTATTGTACTTATCACGGTTCCACAGCTTGACTCTCGCACAGCTGTCATTTTCAATCGCCTTCGAAAAACGCTTCAAAATCAATTTTCATTATATTGTGCTTTCGAGTGAAACTTCGTGTTGTGGCGTGGTTTCTCGTTGGAATTTAAATCGATTTGATTGGCTACTTCACGTGAGCTCAAAATTATTAACCAATCAAAACCTTCTACATGAAATTCAACCAATCAGATCGATTGTGGATCAGTTTTGAGAAGAGGGACGTCTGCAACTCCGCAAGGAAGCGTCTTTCGAGGCGAGGAATTGCCGTGTTTATCGACTACGTTGACAAACTTCTCGACCCGAGTCTTCCAAGGCGTACCCGTACCGCTGCGACATCGCAATCAGTATATTGCGATGTTGCAGCGCTATCATACTGCTTGCACGACACCTCTCCGCTGAATTGTCCTCGTTGCTAGTGTTGAGGTATTTCAGGGTTTCGAGAGCGTATGTACATTCACTGGACAGTGCTGTACATCTCCAAATGGCAGTTCAAAGTCCTTGGTGCCGGTGGAAACGCAACCAAATGATAGAGTACTTATTGTCGATTTGATACAAAATGGGGAGGGCGCAATCGAATCGCGCCAACCAAACTGTTAATGGGCGCGAACCTCCACGCGGTGGTCAGACGCCGTCGGAAGTGCATATCATGACGGTGAAGGCCGACTCGACTGTGTTCGTCAAGCTCATCTCGTTTCGCGGCATGCAGCTCAACAAATTGATCGGCAACGGCACCACGTACCTCCACATGACGATCGTCGACCGGTTGTTCCCCGAGATGATCCGCGCGCTCGTCCATCAACAGACGGCTCGGGCGGCGTCATGGTGTCGGACGTGATCTCTAGACAGACCCTCTTGGGCCTCACAAATTTTATGCGCGATGGCACGTCCCCCCCGACGTGCCGCGTCTGTCCTGCAAACGCTGCAAGAACCAAAGTTTCTTCTCGACGCCCTTCAAGATTGCCACATCTGTGGTCGAAGCAGTGTCGCAACTGCTCGAAAAAGCTCGGAGATATGAAGGACCCCCCCGGCCAAGCGGCCCGGGAATGTGACGAGAATCGCAAGCGTGCATGTTCTGGTGTACTTTTAGCTCAGAACTCGGAGCAGTAGCCAAACTCGGGTCCTGTCGTGTCAAAATAAATGGCTTTGCATTTTATGAACACTGTAAAGGTAAACTCACTTTGAAGTTTGCAAACTCGGATGGGGCGTTGACTGTTATTCTGTCCGGAGCTCAAAGTTTGTAGCATGTTTGACTACTATCCAAACTACTCTTCTCATTAAAGTATAGTACACTTGCTAACGGTCGTGGTATTTTCCTGATCGAAAGATAATTCTCCCTACGTGATTTCCGTAATGGCCGACTTATATACTTTCGCAATGCTCACGACCTCAAAGGTCATGGAAACCCAGTGCCCCTTGGGTGGGTTTTCTTGAGTTTCAACAATAAATGTTTCAAATGTACTCAAAGATATAGCGTCTTTTGCATGCTTTTGGCTGCCTATCGCATCTGACCATCCCAATTCGCCCAGACACTTCGTTCGGGGGTGAAAAATTGGCACGATGGACACGCGTTGCTGATCCTACCGCCTCCGCTCGTGCTCTCCCCATGGTGGGTCTTCAGGTTGTAGCAGTTCTCAGGGATCACAGGGCCAGCCCCACACCTGGGACACTGCACGGCATTCGGGAACTGTCGCCGCATGAACTCGGCCGTCGCAGCTGCGTCTTGCCGGGTCCTGGCGAGGTCGTTGGATCGCTTGAACTCGGCTCTGGCAGCCTCCAGCTCCAGTTGAAAGCGCTCTTGGTGGTACGTGTACTGGCGCTGCTCCACCACCGCATCTTGCGCCGCCCGGTAGTGGCCGAAGATAGCGTCTGGGAGGACCTTGGCCAGGGCTTGTTCGGAGTACACGGCGTCGCAGCCGGGCATCACGCACTGGATGCGCCCGCCTTGGGCTCGATGGCGCGCCAGCTGCGTGGCTTCGGCTTCGATTTCATTGAGTATTCTCTGCACCTCTTGGGGGGCGCAGTCGGCGCATATAAAGTGCAGCACGTCGCCAGCACCACAACCGAGGCCATTGGCGCTTTGGTCAAAGCAAATGTTGCACATGCGGAGAATCTCTGCCGGCTGTTTCGGACTGCTTCGCAACGCATCCACCTGCCGCTGCAAGTCTTCCACCAGTTGGGTCATGCGGATTTCCTCGGGAGTGGCTGCACAGTAGGTCTTTTCCAGCTCCACCAGTCGCCGCAACACCGTGAGCATGGAACTCACGCGGGTTTTGTACGGTGCCAAGCACTCCCTTGCGAGGGCTTCCAGTCGCTGGGCGCACTCGACGGACCACGGCCCGGCCCGCGCGTCCAAGTCTGGGCCGATCGGCGTCATGTCCTCAATGTACTCGTCGTACAGATCCTGGCCGTCGCGACGAGACGACATGAGCCGACCCGTGAGGAGCTCCAGCAGCACAATGCCAAACGAATAGATCTCCGACTTGGCGTCGTACTGGAGCTTGCGGATGTACGTGGGGCACATGTAGCCAGGGGTCCCAAGTGCCATGCCCTTGGTGCTCATGATCGAGCCGAGGTGGTGGGTGGTGGCTGGGTCTGGGATAAACTTGGAGAGGCCGCAGTCAATGAGCTTGGGGACGAAGCCGTGGAAGAGAACGATGTTGGCGCTCTTGATGTCTCGGTGGAACGTGGGACTCTTCTCGTCGTGGCAGTGGAGGTAGTTGATGGCCCTCGCCACCGCAGCGGCGATGCGGACTCGGACCTTCCACGTCAGGTCAGAGGCCCGGGCATCGTCCACGAGACTCTGGTCCATCGACCCCAGCGGCCCCAGCTCGTACACGAGACAGAGCTCTTGGGCCACGGACGCCACACTGGTGAATCCCAGTAAGCGGATGATGTGGGGGTGGTGGAACTTGGACAGGACGTAAATCTCTCGGCGGATAGTGGACAGCACCGCCCGATCCGTTTCCTCATCCCCCTGGAGTCGAAGGGTCGGCTTGAGTCGCTTCACAGCCACTGGAATGGACTGGCACTGGCCTTCAAACACGTCCCCAAACGCACCTTCCCCGATCTTTCTCGCAGGAGAAAAGTTGTCCGTCCACTGCTGCACCTCCGCCACCGACACTTCGCGCGGAGGTCCTTGTCCCCAGGTAGCCACTTCTGTCGAGGTTGCAGGGATTTGGGGGTTGGAGGCAGCCTTGGGTGGCGAGGAAGGTGGCGTTGGTTGCAGGGTGAGGGAGGGTGAAGTCTCCCCCGTAGCCTCAGTTGGCGCAGTGCGTCCATCCTACCCCAGAGAAACTCAGCTCATTGCTCGAGGAATAGTTGATGCAACCTGGTTAAAGGCCGAGCTATTCACATGAGGCACTCGTATAGTCTTCCAGAGACAATGTTATTGCAGCAAGTACACGAGGGTTAAGGATACCTCGTCCGTAGAGTTTTTTGGGACTACAGAGTTCGAGACATACTTAGATGGAGAATATAGGGGTGGTAAGGTGGAGGCGGGCGCTGGGATGCCAGTGGATTGGCGATGGTTTTCAAGTATTGCCAATACAATCGCCAAGTCGGCGCTGTGGTGCTTGTATTGACTGGGTTTGTCACGAACAACCTGAATGAGAGCCTTGAACTTCGGCGCTCTAAGTAATTCCCGCATGTTTGGGTCTTTGGCCAAGACAGCCCACATGTCCGCCACTCGAAATGCATTGGCCACGGTGATGGAGTCATTTGTGTCGATGATACCCACCAAGCAATCCACATCATCTGGGTTGACTTGTAGGCCCTCTTGAAACGCAGACAAGGCAAAGTCGTACTGGTCTCGACAAAGCAGAGCTTCCCCCAACCAAGCGAACACTGACTTTCCAGAAGTAATTTGGTTTGCAACCGCCACAGCAGATATGACGTCGCCAGCGCAAAAGTTGGAGATGGCTCGGTCGGTTACCATTGTCTGTTAGAATCAATGGGTTCTTGAAGTGATTTGAGGGTCAAAAGGTACCTCTTGCTGTGACAAAGCATCCAGAATCTCAGAACGACCAGCCATGGCAACAGGAGTGCGCCCAAGCTACCTCACATAAGACTCAGCAAAGGAATCTATATTCTCCTGAGTACAATGTAGATCATATTTCAGGATGATGTCTGACACTCTCACACCAGTCCCTGTAATACCTCATCAATCGCGTGGATTTTGGCACCATGGATCAACAACTCTTTTACTATTTCCAAATGCCCCATGGCTGAAGCCCAGTGGAGTGAAGTATATCCACGCTATTTTCACACAGGTTAGCCCACACATTCTCCCCTGCCACACATACATCGGTAGTCGCGTGGATGTCGGCGCCTAGTCGCACCATTTCCTTTACTATATCGAAATGTCCATATTGTGACGCTAAGTGGAGTGGCGTTTGTCCAAACTATTTCCAGATGAGAGAGACGAGGTCCCACAACGTACAGTATCTGCCTCACAAACCTCAGTACTCGCGTGGATGTCGGCGTCTAGGCCCACCAATTCCTTTACAGTTTCCAAATGCCCCTTGGCTGAGGCCCAATGGAGGGGCGATTGTTTACGCTGTTTCTATGTCAGCCCCTCAGAGTCTCACGCGACGCATACCTCATCAGTCGAGTGGATATCAGCGCCGTGGCCCAGCAATTCCCTGACAGTGTCCAAACGTCCGCTTATTGATGCCAGGATGAGTGGGGTAAATCCGCGCTATTCGGCAGAAACCAGTGGGCTGGTTGGCTCCGTCTGCGCATGAAGAAACACAAATCATACCCCTTGATCTTTCCAGTTGATGTTGGCCCCTTCCTGAATGCATCGCTGTACCTCCTGGAGGTTTCCACCTTTCGCTGCAATCCACAGTTGTTTTTCCTGCGTTAGACAGAGTTGTGGTCACCTCACAACCGACCCATTAGTGAGATTTTGCATGTCGTCCGTGGACTATGCCTACACTATTGAAACATACGTTTGACAAATGCAGAGTTCGAACTGCCAGACCTAATTGAAACATCTACAAGAACTTATTATTCAACCCTGGAATGGGCCAATTGTAGGGTCACCTGTAACTACACCTAAAACCAACCAGCCATTCCAAATCGTGAGACGACCACCATGCCCAGGCCCGTCAAGACCCGCTTCTCGGATGCCGAGGACATATTGATCTTGCGGGAGGTCAACGCGAGACTCCCATTCACTGCAAAAAGGGGTTCCGTCATGCTGGCGTGGAACACTGTGGCCGACGCTGTGTCGACGAAGCACGACTTTGCTCGGCCTGGCTTCGACGGCAAACGAGCCCTGAACAGATTCACTCTGCTGATGGAAGGCCACCGTGCGAACAACGACGTGTCGGCACGTGCATCAGGGATCGATGAAGACCACGACGAGAAGACCCAGCTGCTGCACGAGCTGTTGGCGGTGTATGAAGACTCCAAGGCACAAGACAAAGCGCGCCTTGTCGCAGCCCAACAAGAAGCCGATCGCATCGAGAATATGGGCGCTACCATACGCGAGGAGGCAATCCAGTCGTTGGGTAAACGGAAGGCGGGACCGACAGATGCTGATGGTTCCAGCGCTGGTGTTTGTGGTGTTTTTTGTGTCGTTCAGCAGAAGTCCAGAAGATTGCAAAGATGTTGAGCTGCTGGACTCCCGTTCGGACTGTTTTCGTACGTGACGTTTCGGCAGTCGCTGGGGGCTGTGGGTTTGCTTTCGTTCGTGTCCCGTCCGTGTGCTTGCGAAATTTTTTTGGGCTGGCTGCGCCTGCCTTGTTGCTCCCTTCGTGGGTGTTTTACATTTTGATGACGATGTTGTTTTGGCGCTTAGGGTTTTTTCTGTGTTCGTTTTCTCCTGTCTCTGTTGTGTCGAGGTTTGTGTCAGGGGTTGGTGGTTCTGGTTTCATCTTTTGGCTTATTTTGTTTCGGGGAGCGTCCCTTGAGTGCCCGTTTGTCGCCGTGGTGGCAACACTGCCTCCTGTTTTCGGTGTTTCGGGTCGACTTTTGGGCATGCCTTTGTTTGTGGTGATATTCCAGTGTGTTTTCACTGCTTTTTAATTGCCCTTGCCATTCTGGCTGTTTCGTGTCTTCGATTTGTTTCGTTTCTTTTTGGATTTGTTGGGTTGGTTGTTTTTGGTCCCAGTCCTGGCTAATTTGGTTTCGCCGTATGTAGGGTCGCTGTCGGTTTGTTTCTCGGATGGGATGTGTGAGTTCTGTTGCCGGTGGTGGCGCTGGCCTTTTTGACGGCGCTTTTTCTTTTCTTGGCGCCGTCCTTGTTTTGGCCCCTTTGAATTTCTGCTTCGGCCATTGGGGGCCTTGACTGCTTGGTTTTTTGGATTCTTTTTGGGCTTTTTTGCGCTGTTTGTCTTTTTCTGCAGATTGTCCCCGTTTGGCGATGGTGTCTTCCGGGTCGCTTTCGGTTTCGTTCTGTGGGTAGATGTGTGCGTTCGGGTAGTTTGGGTGGCGCGGGCGTTTCTGGCGGCGCAGTTTCGTTTCGTGTTTTTTTCCTTCCGGTTGGTGTTGAAGTTGAGTGCTGGGTTCCTCGGGTGGTGTGACTGGTTGGTAGTTTGGAGGATGCCTTCGCTTATGGCCGCTGTTGATCTCCTTCTGGTCATTGTCCCCGTTTCCCGATGGTCCCATCCGACACACTTGCAGCTTCGTGCCGTCGATAAACCCAAACACACGACTAGTTTGGGCGCCACGCGAGTTGATGGCGGCGCAGTATCGGTCAATGTTTTTTGCCACAAGGTTGGTGTTGAAGTACAGCAATGGATTCCACCGGTCGTACAACTCGTTCAAAACGTGGAGGAAAACATCACACAGCACAGATCGTGATCGCCCAAAGGTCTGCGCCATGTCGAAAAACCGGGTTGGAAAAGCCATACG